ATTTTTTAACTGTTAAAAATGACATGATAAAAGTCCATGTTTATATTAGAGTCAGCACATGGTTATATGAAGAATATTCATTTGAGTTTATGTATTAGTTTCTGCTCCACTCTCTGTGTGTGTAACAGAAAATACAGGAGAAGTGGTGACAGTGAAGGAATGTGAGTGTGTAAACATCAATGTTATTATCAGACTGGAACAAAAGGCCAGATAAATGTTCTGATTGTGGACAAGGCTTCACTTTAGCCCCATTTCCACCAGCTCTACTCTGCTCTACTCTTCCCTATACCTTCCTCTACTCTCTACTCTGCCCTACTTGGCCCTACTCCACCTGGTTGTGTTTCCATTACGCTACTGTACCTGTTACCGTATCCTACCTGTATCCTACCTACATACGATGACAAACGTGACACGGGTAGCTATTACTCTACTTTTCTTGGAGAAATCTTGTTTTTATATAATATGATTGTAGATCAACTGTAGATGTCTCAGAAGCACCATTGATGGTAGGCACTTAAGAGTGTTTTACATTGATGGCTGTAGTTCAATCTGGAGAGACCAAGACAGACACGTTAATGCATTTAGAAAGATTTAATGTTTGGCGCATTGACCCCGGCAGTGACACTTGGAGAGGGTAGATCACTGGTGCTGAGATGATCTCAGACCCCCCAGGGTCAAGCACTGGTGGTGGCTAGAAGCGTGGTGTGAATGGGGCGCAGGCGGAGCAGGAGCCAGAGCAGGAGCACGAGGAGGTGCTGGGGAGGTGGTGGGTGTTAAGAGCTTCCGGAAGGGCTGGTTAGTAGGAAGTGGCTGCTTTTAAACTTCCGGCTTTGTTGTCAGTGGTTGGCAGGGGGGCTGGCCGAGCTGTGCGATTGGCTGTGGCTCGAGGCTGGCAGAACTGTGTGAGGTGAGAACTGCAGCATGCAGGTCTTCCCAGTCTGAATTTGCGCTTAAGCTTCATATGGCGGTATAGCAAATGAATCACCTCGGAGCTTCCAACCATGTTAATGCTGCGATGCCTCTTCACGGGGCTTCATCTTGCTTCACGGGGCTTTATCTTGCTTCACGGGGCTTCATCTTGCTTCACGGGGCTTCATCTTGCTTCACGGGGCTTCATCTTGCTTCACCGAGCTTCATATTACCATCTCTTGTTTTCTTCTTTGTCAAATGTAAAAAGTGCCCACAGATATTCTCTTCTTTTTTTCCCAGCCGTGGACATATTCTTGTTCTTTTCATCACTGATGGACACTTTACAAGCTTACGTGACTGGTGTTGTGGTTAGCTTAGCAATAGCTTCCGTTCACTCCTCGCATCTAGTCCGGCAGTCGATTGGTTGTTTTCTCAATTGCGCTTATCTATCCCTTCTGATTGGATTTCGTCATGGTCTACTTTTCGTCTCGTCTTTTATTCGCGGACAAAAATGTCACTCAATTTAGTCATTGTCCCCGTCTCAATGATTTACTTCTATTTCAGTTTTTGTTACGTTTTCGTCCCCAAAAAATATATTTGTGATGAAAATATGACGCTAATATTTTGTCTACAAAATTATCACTGATGGAAATGCTCAGTGAGGGTAGAGTAGAGTAGAGAAGAGAACTGGTGGAAACGGGGCTTTTCAACTAAGAGAGCAGCAAATCAATGGGATATAACTGCCCGTACGAGGAGCTGATTGGTGGATATTTAACAGATGATATGGTACGACATGATTAGCCTCTTAAATATGAATAATAATGCATCGGTTTTACACAGGGCTCTTTTTGATGCTCAAAGATGCTTCACATGCTATTATTCATTCACTTCCGTACACGGTGGTGATAAACTACAACTGTAGCCACAGCTGCCCTGGGGCACACTGACAGAAGCCAGGCCCCTCTGACCACACACACACACACACACACACACACACACCAAACTCAAGCTCAAGTTAAAGCTCAATGCTAGTCACATGTGATCCTTGTTCTTGGGTCAGAGGCAGCGTGGAGGGTGAGGGCCTCGTGGTGGGTGGGGTCCTCATGGGTGGTGCCTCTACACCGGTGGCACAGACTCCACTTCAGCAATTAGCCTCTGACTCTGAGGCTTATGGCCGATGCACAGATCTAAGCCTCTGTGGGGAAGGAGGGAGCGAGGGTTTGTTTAAAGGGCAAGAGAAAAGTGACAGTGGATTAGAATTCCACGGTGGAAAGAAAACTGGTCGATCTGGTAAAAAAATAAGCGTCTCCTTCGTTCGATCTGACTGTACCTGTCTAAAGTCTGTTTTATGGACAATTATTAACATTTATGAACAGTGGTCATCCCTCTCTCTGAAACAGTGGTTCCTATGTGTTTGTTATTACTGCACTGGCTGTGTTCAAACTGTTTCTCTGATTTGTTTTTGTTGATTCGAGAACTTTGTAAAGTCCTCAGAGACCACTGCTGTTGTGATTTAGGGCTGGAACAAAAACACATGGAATTGAATTTAATTGAAAAACATGTTAATTCATATATTTTCAATTATTTCACATTGGAAAACATGAAACGTCAAAGAAAATATTCCCACGATCACATTTCAAAGTTAAAATGACTCAAAATTCACTTAAATTAGTGCATTTTATTTGCAGTTGATTTTTTCCACTGGCTTCTCCCACATTTCCAGTCCTCACAGATGCTCCAAGGACACTTCTGTTGATAAAGACTTTGGAAAAGGCAGAGCTGATAAGATGGAGATGGCTCTGCTCAGTGAGTGTGTGTGTGTGTGTGTGTACTTGTGTGTATGTGTGTGTCGGTGTGTGTGTGTTCGTGTATGCATGTGTCTGTATGTGTATGTGCATGTATGTGTGCGTGCGCGCCTGTGTGTGTATGTGTGAGTGTCCTTGTGTGTGTGTGCGTGCCTGTATATGTGTGTGTGTATATCTCTGCATGTGTGTTTGTGTGTGCGTGTGTGTGTGTTGATGTGTATGTCTGTGTGTTTTGTGTCGGTGTGTGTACTGTATGTGCCTGCCTGTGTGTGTGTCCATGTGTGCCCGTGTGTGTGCGTGTCTGTGCTGTGTGTCCGTGTGCGTGTGTGTGTGTGTGTGTGTGTGTGTGTGTGTGTCTGAGCTGTGTGTCCGTGTGCTTGTGTGTGTGTCTGTGCTGTGTGTCCGTGTGCGTGTGTGTGCGTGTGTGTGTGTGTGTGTGTGGGAAAGGCCAGTGTCAGGTGGGCAGCACTAATGCAGAGGAATGTACAGATTCCACAGTGGCTTTGTGATGTCACAGAGCAACAGCGGCGGCGGCGTCTTCAAAAGCCACGCTCTGGCACCGGCTCCGTCTACTGTCCGCTACAGAGACCCACAGTGTGACATCAATCACACGCTCGGTTCTCAGAGTTGGAATAAACGCAGAATATTTGGTTAAATCATGGTAAAAGTCAAAATAAACATACATCGATTTGAAGTTTAAAGAAAAATACATTTCAATGTACTTTATGAAAGGTCTTGATGAATAGTTCCTGAACAGACAATCTGTAGATCCAGGACTGAGGCTGTAGATCCAGGTCTGAGGGTATGGATCCAGGACTGAGGCTGTAGATCCAGGACTGAGGCTGTAGATCCAGGACTGAGGGTATGGATCCAGGACTGAGGCTGTAGATCCAGGACTGAGGGTATGGATCCAGGACTGAGGCTGTAGATCCAGGACTGAGGCTGTAGATCCAGGACTGAGGCTGTAGATCCAGGACTGAGGCTGTAGATCCAGGACTGAGGCTGTATATCCAGGACTGAGGCTGTAGATCCAGGACTGAGGCTGTATATCCAGGAGCCACAGTTGAACTTGTTCCAAAACTGGTGATGCATCATTTCCAAAGTTACAGAAGTGCATACATTCTCCAAAAATATACCCTTTTAAAATAGTTATAAAGTAAATAAGGAAGTTTTTTTTCCTTTAGCACTTTTCACTTTTACAATTCTGTGTATTATTCATTTATTCCACGCATGGTTTGGGCCTGAGCTCGACATCCCTGCCTTAGACCGAACCTGCATCGGCATGGACCGACTCAATAACCAAAATGAGAGGGGGATCCGCTCCCACAGACGTACATTGAGGTCTATGGGTGAAGCTCCTTTAGCCTGTGTGAGTTTTAGCTCCTGTGCCTCAGGTGGCCCCTCGTCCAGTCCATGTGGAGACCGGTCTAAGCAGCAGCACCCAATCCAGATAATATTATACATCCATGTGGAAATCCCTTTGAGTCTCGCACTTTGTTTATGAAGTGTCGGGTTCCGGTCTCAAAGTGGCCTGTTAAAAGTCCACTGCTATTACAGGCCTGCGGCGGACGACAGGCGTAATGATTGTTTGTGACTTTGGGCTTTGATCAGCGCGGCCATCGGACTTCCTCTAATTGCCTTAATCAGAGTTTCTCCTGATTACTGCTGCTGCTGCTTCTGCTGCTGCATCCAGAGCTGGTGCATGTGTGTTTGTTTAAGACCATGAAAAAAACAGGAAGCAGAATAAGCCCCAAATGGAGATTTATTAAGAGCTATTAGGAGAAGGAGTCACTGCAGGAGAAAGTCTGGAACAATGAATGTTATTGTCTGCTGTTAGTGTAAAATGTGTGTCACTTTTGCCTTTGTGTAACTGTTTCTGTGTTTTAGCCCATCTACATGTTAGCTGTTTTCTTAAAATGACTGAAAAAGGACTAGACAGGATATATTTGATTGTGACCTGTAAACAATAGACTGTAGATGCTAACCCGCTAGCTCAGTGAAACACATGGGGAAGTTTTGCTCCAACTCGCTCTGGCTTCTATTGACTTACATAGAAAAGTAAACTCACACTTACAATGTTTTGGGCTTTCTGATCCTTGCATATTCTCCCCACGTCTGTGTAGGTATCCTCCAGGTGCTCCGTTTTCTCCTACCCCTAATAACATGTACAATAGTGTTTTTACTTGTTATTATTGAACACATTCTCTCCTGTTTTGTGAATCATTTTGAACAATATTTACATCTATGCCATATAAGTAAATCCGTCTATGTTGGTTCTCGCTACAGCCTCGGACTGTGAGGTGGGCCCCTGGGGGCCGTGGTCCGCCTGCACGTCCCCCTGTGGCGTTGGCAGCACAGAGCGCAGTCGCCAAGTGTCCGTTCCTCCCAGAAACGGAGGAAAGCCGTGTCCCGACCTGAAGCAGCGCAGAGGGTGCTACGGGAACAACGGGAACAACGCCGTCTGCAGCTCCGCAAAAGGTCAGGGCTCCCATCACAGAACTATCCAGGACCCGCACTGCTTAGGCTTTGATAAGCAGGCACATACACAAAACTCACTTCCAAAACATCATAGTGCAGGGGTGGCCAACCAGTCAGAGACTAAGAGCCAATTTTTTTTACTGTGTTACAGCAAAGAGCCACATCATACAAATGTGCACTACATAAACATCACCCCAACCCTTACACACGCACGCACACGAGCAGACACGCGCACACACATGCAATCTGTCTGAGCAGAGAGAGGTGTGCTCTGCTCAGACAGATTTATTGTAAATGTCATCAACATGATAATGACAGAAATTGACTCGTACAGCACTAAAGGGCTGGACTCGACTCTCCCCGGTTTGCGGGCGCTTCTACCGCTCCCCGGTACTTTTTATTAATGGTTTGGCCCTGGTTCTAACCGGGCGAGTCGATACCAGAACAATTTCACGTCAGCGAACATCAATTATGATTCCGAAATGAATGCTTTCAATCTCTAACCAAGAAAAAAAAATCAAGTTTCAACCCAGTGTTCAGCAGAAACACAACTGTCTTTAGTAAAAGATATAGATTTGACACATAACACCAACACCACTTTAGCTGATTTAGAACCACAGACACATGCTCAGTATAAGACCAGATACTTTTGCATTTGATTGAAGACAGACACTCACCAGGCAGAGTTGGCTTATCTCCTGGTGTAATGCTAGTTGTTGTTAGCTGGTTTTAGCATGTTAGCCGGTGTTAGCCGATGTCCGTAAATGTAATCCATTTGGTCAAACCACCTCCAGACTTTTCGGGTCTGCCTCTACTTCTGCTGCTGCGATCTTTCATTTCACGGTTGTCACTTTTAAGCTTTTTAACTTTTCTCTGCATTGTCATGTTTGTGGGAATCATTCTGCTCCGTCCTTAGTGCTAGCTCCACAAACACCTTCTGGTTTCTGGTGGAACCAGCGAGATCAGGCTGGTGTCCTCTCCTCAAACTGAGGAAGGTGTTGCCCTCATCCAGCGACCAAGGAATTGTTTTCCGTACGGACGTCATGGTTCGAGGCAACGTGTTGTTTGTTATGATATTTGCTACAGCTGAGGTAGCAGCTGCAGAGTGATTGACAGCGCATCTGACCAACCAGAATTGACGTTCGCCGACGTCAGATTGTTTTGGTGGCCTGGCTAGTGGAGTGAAGTCGGCCTTTACTATTGGTCAGAACTACATATGGAATGAAAGGCAGCGCCACCAACGAGGCGTTTTTGACGCTTGTCGAGTGAAAGCCCGAGAGCCGCACGGAACCAGCCAAAGAGCCGCATGCGGCTCACGAGCCGCGGGTTGGCCACCCCTGTCATAGTGTCTCAGAAACTTCATCAGATCACAATCCACAAAACAGATGGACAATGTTACCCATTTTGTTTGCTCTACTCTACTCTACCGTACTCTACTCTGCCCTACTCTACTCTACTCTACCGTACTCTACTCTGCCCTACTCTACTCTACTCTACCGTACTCTACTCTGCCCTACTCTACTCTACTCTACTCTACTCTACTCTACCGTACTCTACTCTGCCCTACTCTACTCTGCCCTACTCTACTCTACTCTACTCTACTCTGCTCTGCTCTGCTCTACTCTACTCTACTCTACACTACCCGAGTAGGGTAGAGTATACTCTGCTCTGCTCTACTCTACTCTACTCTACCCTACTCTACTCTACTCTGCTCTGCTCTGCTCTGCTCTGCTCTACTCTACTCTACCCTTATCTACTCTACCATATACTCTACTCTGCTCTACCCTCCTCTATGCTATCCTACTCTACCCTACTCTCTTCTACTCTCCTCTAATCTACTCTACCCTACTCTACTCTACTCTGCTCTGCTCTGCTCTGCTCTACTCTACTCTACCCTTATCTACTCTACCATATACTCTACTCTGCTCTACCCTCCTCTATGCTATCCTACTCTACCCTACTCTCTTCTACTCTCCTCTAATCTACTCTACCCTACTCTACTCTACCCTACCCTACTCTCCTCTACTCTACTCTACTCTACCCTACTCTCCTCTACTCTACTCTACTCTACCCTATTCTCCTCTACTCTGCTCTACCCTATATCCTACTCTACTCTACTCTACCTGGTTGCGTTTCCATTACACATCAGTATATGGTACTGCATCCTGACCTACCCACAGGGAAATTCCTTGGTAACCATGGCTTCCAGCTGGATTCTGGCCAATCACTGTCAGTTAGAACACTTCAGTAGCGGCTCGGCCTGGATAGAACCAGAACCAAGCTTCTACTAAAAAGTATCTGGTACCGCTCAAACAGGGCTGGTGGAAACATTACCAGTTGGAGTAGAGTAGAGTAGAGTAGAGTAGAGTAGAGTAGAGTAGAGTAGAGTAGAGACAAGCAGGGCTGGTGGGCCGGTTCCTATTCGAGACACAGTTCTTTTTGTTTTCCACTCAAAAATATGTTGGAAATAGTGCCAAAATTCAAATCATATCTATAATACTAAAAACACACTAAATAAATAAATAATCTCTTGCACTTCCTTCGAGCCAGAAAAATACAGAAAAAACTGTTTGTTGAGAAGCTAATGAATGCTACTGGCTGCTAGTAAACAGTGGGTTGCTACGGTAACAAGCTCATGACAACCACTATTTCTATATTAGCCTAATGCTAATAGATTTAATGCTAACAGATTCACTCATTTTTCCCATAGTTTTCTGCCGTAATATTCTGTGTCTGCCGTTCAAGCATGCATTCTTAATTTGTTCAAAGCTGGATTTACAAAGACAATATCAAAATAAATAAACGCCGGGATCACAAATAGCAGATTTTTAAACCAAAAATGGCGAGTGTGACCGTTACTGAGCCAGAGGAGTTTACTGTACATATATCAGCACTTCATTGAGCTAGCGGGTTAGCATTGTCCAACTATATACAGGCTACGATAGATACACACATTGATACACATACACACACTTATTTCCTCAGTGAAAGCGAGATGCGATCAGGCTGTTCGTTGCGCAAACATTTCCTCACAGAGACGTGTTTGGAACCTCAGGGGATCTGGGCTGAACTTTGAGCAATACCTCTGCACACATCTGCTGCAAACAACAAATTGAGCAAAAAACGTCATGTTCTTTTCCCTTCTCGTCCCCCGTTACAGACTTGTTTCCACAGTGATTCATACATGTTTGACTCATTTATAGAGAACACACATTAGCAATCGAAAGACACTGAAAATACAAGACAGAGATGGTTCGTTTGGCTTGTTTTTGCCTCAATCCAAACAGAACCACAGGCTGTAGATTCAATCGGCCGGTCCTGGATCTTTCTTTGTCTCTAAATATCGGCCCATCTCAAGTTTCCCACTTTTTTTCCCAGTGACAAACCAGGATTTAAAGGACATTTCAAGACATTTATGGACATTTCAATCAATCAATACCATTATTTTCTTGTTTTGAATTTGCAGAGGTGGCCAAGATTCTGCCTGATTCCTACAAAAGAAACTTCAAGGACCCCTGGAGACGGCCCCACATGATGATGAAGGAGGAGAAGGCCAGGTAAGAGGCCCCTGAAGTCATATGACCATGAGTTTTCATCTGTGCGCTGTCTGTGAAAGTCACAGACAGCGGTTTAATATTACTGGATCTTATTGCCACAACCAAAAATACCGTAACATTATTTAAATAGCTAAACAATTGCAGTTCAAAATTGGACACTTTTGGACTCCATTTCTCCACTGTGGGACTAATGAAGGCCTCATTCATTTAACTGGACATTTCCAAAGTTTCAGGCCGTCCTTCAAAATGACACCGGTAATACAGAAAACGGTAAATAACATCGCCCTAGTACCACGGCGTGTTGTACCTCATTTTAAAGAATCTTAAAACAATATTATCTAACTAATTCTAAAACTTGAAACAACATGTTGTTTAGGTTATTTATAAAACATAGTATATTGGCTACAATTACAAGATTTCTTCACTTTGGTTCAGTTTCCCTCGCGTCAGTTTGCCCCAGGGCAGCTGTGGCTTAAGTAATAGTTTATCAACAGTAAGAGGTATAAATCATGGATCTATCATAATAACTGGATTATATTTGTATTTGGCGCAACGCATCATGGGAGCTCGTCCACTCCCATGATGGGTTCCCGGGCGCTGTTACTACGGCGACCACTGCTCCTGACGTGAGCCTGAGTGGTATCAGGATGGGTCAAATGCAGAGGATGAATTTCCCTACGGGGACAATAAAGTGCACATTTACATTTACATTTACACTACATAGAACCGGGAGGACCAGACGATGCCCAAATATAGCCGAGCTCGTCTGATATGTTAGCGCCGTGAAGTCCCATGCGCTACTGAGCACAAGCTATTCATTTGAATTGGGGCGCAATCTTGGATCACCGGGGCTTGTCAAAAATACATATAAACTTTGCTTTTCTAAAGATAGTGCTTCAGATCAAGGCCTTGATTTCCAAGGTCGCTCCAACCTTCACTGATAATCTGTGTTTGTAGAAGTTTATTCAAACATTCTTCATGTTTGATTGTGTTTATTACACTGCAAAAAAATGATAAAATATGAGGTCATAAATGTGGCGACAGTGGCTCAGTTGGGAGAGCATTGACCATAGAGCCTAAAGGTTGTGGGTTTGGGCCCACCACAAGACCTACTTCATGACTCCCAGTCTCCCACTGATGACTGCTGTCGTTGTGTCCTTGGGCAAGATTATTTGTGTTTATTACACTGCAAAAATATGAGGTCATAGATGCTTAAATCAAGTGTTTTTTTCATCTTAATTTGAGTTTATTCTGACTGTGTTAAAATCAGATTCTTCAACGAGACAAAACCATTTAGTCTTATTTCAAAATCTGTTGCTTTATTTTCTCATTCCAAGGGAGACCTTTCTTGTATTTTTTTTAAAACAAGATCATTTTGCTTTGTCCCGTTGCCAAATTCTGGCAATTTCTGACTTATTTTCCATCTCTTTTTGCAGTGTATAGTTAACATCATGTCGTGTTCGTCTGCTCTGATGAGACGTGAGATCACAGAGAGTCAGGGGAGAATGACTCATGATGTTAGTGGGAGATGGTCCTTGTTTTACTGCAGCTCATCTGGAGAATCAGATTAAGACTTTTAAATAATCGAATTATACTGTGGAGAAAAACACCAAAGAATCCCACCAAGAACATACGTTATATCGTTTTATGTATTTTATCTAATTAGATTAAGATGAAGATGACGAGAGCCTTTATTTGTCACAAAGTGGTGAAATTTCAATATTGTATCGCAAGGTACAGAACAGCAGGGCAGGCAGTAGGATGTATAAAGCACAATATACTAAAAGAAAAAAACAATAAAATATCTCTCTTTGTATTAATAAAGAAAAAAAGTACTGTATACTACGTATATTATAATACTTAGGAATTTTTGTATCGCCGCCTATTTGAAAACCAGATTCCATCAGACTAAACAAGGCAGGGTCTGGTTAGTACAGTGATGGGGGACCTCTGGGAACCCCTCGTGCTACATTGGGGCGGCTGCGGCTGTAAAGTGCCAAACTGTCGCTGTGTCCTTAGGCAAGACACTTCACCCACATTGCCTAGAGTATGTCTGGTGTGTGTGCCTCGCTTCTGTCAGAGTGCCCCAGGGCAGCTGTGGCGACAGTAGTAGTTTATCACCACCTTGTTTGGAGTGAAAGAATAATATTTCAATGTATGAGTTTATGAGCACGTACATCAGCTTTTTCAGACTAAAAAGTGAAATAGAGTGGACCCCCATCACTCAGCCAATCAGCTCTGAGCTCAAAGCATCAAAGAGTGTCTGCAAAAAATAACAAACAATAAAAAATAGTTTTCTAAAAACTGGTCTGATTATTCTACAACTTTATTCTTTTACCAGACTCTTTCTGTTGCGACAAACATATAGTATTTATGAAAAGTTACATCCCCCAGCTTTACTGCTTATATGTTATATTAACAAAGCTGTGTGAATGCTACTAATGCTAATGCTAATGCTAACATGATATAATGCAAAAAGGACCGGTGTATATTCTTTATTATGGGCCGCGGTGACAAACAGCTGTGTTGACGTTAACCTTCAGATGCAGCTCGAGTCTGAGAGACTTTTGTTTTGTCTCCCGTGAGTCATCAAGGACACAACTTTGACTTGGACGCTTCCTGGTTTGAGTTAGTCACTGTGTTTTGATTGGCTGCTACAGGGAAAGCATGAGGAGTTTTTTCGAAAAATACTAAATAAATCATTGTTAAAAGTCGTATCGAGGGACAGACAGATTAGCCTCAGACACACAGTGAATGTTGGAGTCAGTTATTTTTGCTCATTTCGCACTTTTGTATTGTACGATAATAATACCTACTATGGGAAAAAATATGTGAATCTAGTTAAAGTGACATATGCAGCAGCGACTAATCATACAAAGATGTGGATTGTCTTTGCTCGTTCATGATGAAGTGCTTATACATAAACAATCTTAGATATTTCTGTCATTTTCAGTTGATCTTTGGATTAAATATGTTTAGTTTGTGATGTGAAACTATCTGTGTGATATAAAACCCCTTTCAGTTCACTCTGATGTGAACTCGGGAACTCAGGGACCATTGACCTCAGCCTGAGTTTCAGCCCGATTTTCCAAGATCATTCCCATTTTTCCGAGTTGGAAGTCGGAACTTAGACTTAGACAGACCTAATTGATCCACAAGGGAAATTGAGTTGTAAAGCGTCACAAGAAAGGAGCTTTGAGACAGACGGGTTTGAAGTTTATGTTTCTGTCCTGTGTCCTGCATACAAGCCTGCTCTACTGTGCAGTGACTGTGTGTACCTGTGTGCAGTGACTGTGTGTACCTGTGTGCAGTTACTGTGTGTACCTGCGGGTGAAGCAGGCCAGTGCGGCGTGTCGGCTGCAGCTGTGGAGTGCACAGCTGGTGCGAGAGCGGCTCCTGTGCTCAGAGTGTCAGAGCGACGCCATGTCCAAGTCTGACCACTGCTCAGGGGACGGGGAGGAGGGGGCCAGGTAATACACACACACATAATTATACACACACACACATATATACATACACACACACACAATGGATAATAAAAATAATACAATTTTAATAATATCAAGAATTACCTTCAGGCTCAATTTGTATCTGGTCGAGGCTCTTTCCTTCGAATTCCGTCACTCTTCCCTGCTCCATGGCCATCAACACTTTGCTGATTTTGGCCAGCTCCAGTGTCCCCTCTGGTAGTCTGTAATATTGTCTGTGGATGCGAATGTCATGGCCGAGGAAGTTGGCTAGTATGTCCATTTCATTCTCTTTCATATTACGAACTGAGGAGCACAGGGACTGGCCTCCTGTTGGTGCCAGAGTCATGGGAGCGCATCAGATTTATATCGCTAAAATCTGGAACAATCTTGAATCAGGATTATTGTCATTAAAGTGAACATCAAATGTGTTTAGTTTAAAATATAATCAGACTGGACTAGCTTTTCCTGTAGTAGACTTATAATATACAGTAAGTGTTAAGACAAACATAGAAAATCTGGCATAAGATTTGGAGGAGAATGGCTAAACCAATGGGGAGAGAGCTCACCTGTCAATCAAGGACTTGCAATCTTCTCTCTTTTCACAATTAGGAAATCAACTTCATTCAGTTTAAATAACAAAATATACTCTGTTTTTTGGTGATCATTCTGACAGAACATTTACACAAACTAAAATAACCGTCTACATCCTGGTCCCCTGTGATTGGTTGCAGGACTTTCTGGGTGGCGGCTTCGGTCTCCGGTTGCCATGGCTCCTGGGTGCGAGAGTCGTCTTCCTCCAAGGGTTGCCACTGTCCGCCGTACTCCGTGCTCTTCGTGTGAGTCTGATTCATACAAAAAACAAACCAGAGGAAAAACACACAAAAACCAGCAACAAAAGACTTTTCTATAGAGTTTACCAGCGACGACACCAGCGACGACACCAGCAACGACACCAGCAACGACACCAGCAACGACACCAGCAACGACACCAGCGTCCTCCACTGTCACACTGTACTGTACCGAGGCCGCGATGAATAAGCACACAGCAATAACCTTTTACAGCCACGCACTGCAAAAATGATCAAAAATATTCATTTCAGCTTATGCACACTGGGGTTGTCTCGTGCAGTTATCCCAATGTGGTTTTACTGCAAACGGCAAATAACCTGAATCTTGAATTTCGAACGTAACATCCATAGATCCTCGCTCATTTGCTTCTTTGACTAGTCGTCATAAATGTTTTGGTCACTTTTTCAGACAGAAAAGTCACAAAGGTCCTCCCTCAGCCAATCACAACTACACAAAATATAACATGTTTTCTAAGATAAAGACAGATGTTGTGGCCTAATATTATTTTATTTACTTTCACTTTCACTCCTTCTATTGGGACAATCGATATGTGTTATTAACCCTCTCCAGGCTTCTCCACATCTATATGCTTGACCCGTTGTACTCAGAAGTGCTGAATCAATTTCAAGTTAGTGTCACTACCAACCTCCAATGATTTGAAACCAAAACTGTATAAGATGAATATATATAGATACAGTACAGGCAAATTAGTTTATATGTAGATTATAACTCCTCCGGATCAACGTTGCAAATCTGCAACATCCCAGAATGCAGTTTCTGTGAAGGTTAAAAAAAAGTCAGGATTGTATATTACTACCCCATATGATAATTCCACCTAAATATCAGATTTAGGTAGAATATTATTTAATTGCGGCCTGAGAGGGTTGTAGCAAAACACAAAGTTGGGTACCGCAGCTTTAAGGAAGTCAAAATGGCCTCACATTAAACCAATAAAAATGACCTATTGTAAGCAGATATGTTTTGTGTCACTTTTGCGGTGCCGTTTCCAAACCTTTCTCTCATTACTTTTGCTTATCTACCTCTTAATCTGACGTGGAAACCCAGCGATGCAGTGTACAAATGAATAGATCTATTATTTTTTTCATATTTTGATGTGCTGTAAATGTAAAGCTGTGTTTGTCCGAGCGCCAGTGCAGAAGTTTGGGATTTTTTTTACACTTGTTTTGTGCCTGAGTAAAAGTGACTGTGTGTGACGCATAAGTTACATATAGATCATCAGCTTCCTCTAGTTCAGGCGTCTCTAACCTTTCTCAATCCGCAGAAAGCAGCCCCCTTTTTACAGTCGTATTAAACGTCTATATAATAACTACGACAAAACATGGGGCCACATAGAGTCCTATTCACATTTATATGCGGCCCCCGGACCCTTCCCAGTAATGATTTTAAAATAATAAAAAAGAAAATATCAAAAACTATTATAAATATTTCTGCTCATCAAATAAATACTTTATTAACTCAAGTAGCTTTAACAAACAAAAAACATTACTTCTTCCAAATTCACGTAAATAACTGGGTCGGGGCTTCTACAATCTGGTGATATCCCGATGTGTCAATGAAAATAATAGCCCAGTCCTAGTCACTGCTGAACAAGTTTGAAATTAAAGATTTAAGATGGACTGTTGTCGCTCCTGATTAGTTGAATGAATGAATGAGTCTTTATTTGAACAATACAAAGTAAAATAAAAAATAAAAAATAAAAACGTACACGTGTACTATGTATGTACAATTTGTTCCCTCAAGAAATAAATGAAAAAAAAATCATGTCCAAAAGGGAGCAGGAAGAGCTATAAAATAGTTCTATGTAAACCCATTGCTACAATAATAATGCATACATTTGGCTCCACATTCTATCTCAAAAAACTATTTAAGCTAGCTCTGATCGGCCTCTTCATTCAAGCTAACAGTGCTGGCTAAAACTAACATACATTTGTCAGTCCGCTCCTACACAGTCCATGGCGGCACGGTGGCTGAGTGGATAGCACTCTTACCTCTCAGCAAGAAGGTCCTGGGTTTGAATCCCGATCGGAACAGGGCCTTTCTGAGTGGAGTTTGCATGTTCTCCCCGTGTCTGCGTAGGTTTCCCCTACCACTAAAAATATGTCCAATAGTTCTGGCATGCGCCTCCTGTACTGGCGACCCTGCTCCCATCTCTGTGTGGAGTGAGAGACTAATGCCCAAAATTAACAATTGTAAACCGCTTTGAGACTCAGCTCTGCAGGGAAAAGGCGGTAAATAAATAAAGATTACTACTATCATCCCAGGATATGATTACAACCATATTGACTAAAAGTTTGTGTAAGCTCTCAGTCGTACAGGGATTAGTCAAAGCAAAGGAAGGCTGCTCAGAAGTACAGATGATGGGTGAGAAAGCTTCCTTTGCATATTGACTACTGTATATTTCCCGCCCGGCCGTGTGTCACAGCTTGAGTAAGTCTGAAAGAGGAAGGAAACTCTTTATCACTTAACAAGAAAGTCTCCCCTCGCTCCCGGGAAGCCCTCTGCATCCTCCTCATTCCAACTGTGTGTTTGACAAGCTTTTTATCATGTGTTTTATTTATTATAATCAGAAATGTAGCTTGACGTTGCCTTTTTTCGTACACTGCAATTTAGAAATAAACGGAATAATGAATCCTCCTCGTGGTGTTGTTTTTGTGCAGTTTTATGTCAGAGCTTCTGTTTAAATTTCAATGTCAGAGTTGTGCACGTTTTATACGAATAGAGACAATGGTCCATAAATGTTGTGTGAATGTGGAATGTCCTGGATCATCACCATTGTCCTTGGACCTTCAAACACAATCTATTAGTCAAGATAATGATAATAAAATAAATAATATACACTATAGTCAGGAGCAGTCACGAGGTTTCACATTTACAGTTGGTTGGTATTGAACTTCCGCAGCAGAAAATATGAACTGAAAAACAGATAATAATAATGCATTGTTTTTATATAGAGCTTTTCAGGACACTCAAAGACGCTTCACATGTCACCTGCCTCAAGACTCATTCTAGACAAAGTGGGGGAAGTGTCTTGCCTACGGACACAACGACAGCGTGGCACTTTACAGCAGCAGCCGCCCCACTGTCGCATTTAGTGTTCCCGGAGGTCTCCCATCACAGTACTAACCAGGCCCTGTCCTGCTTAGCTTCAGAAGGTTCATAGCATCTGGCTTTCTCCTGCAGGTATAACCACATGAGGACATACTCGCAGGTAAAGTTACTAGTAAAACACTTGATTGGTTTTGTGCTACATATTAGCATTGTAAGTGGTAACAGCTAGAAGTGTGTTAGCTAGCAGGATAAGTCTTTCACTGAGGCATTATGTAGCACAAAATATCTTAATACATACAATTTTTAGTTATTTTTTCTCAAGATTTGATATTCATATGGCCAAAGAAAAAAAAAACTAAAAGAAATGATCAGAGTAGATTAGCACATGTCTAGGGTGATCAGTAGTTCTCATTGTACAGTCTGACAGCAGCTGATCCTTCACACAGCGACGGTAAGGTGCATAGATAAGTCATAATAATTCAATCAATAAATCTTTATTTGTACACAACACACAAGGCAAAAATCACCACAGAAATCATAAACTCCAAAATCACCTTTAAAAATATAGAAATTAAAATCACACAAAGGATTAACACAATAAATAACCACGATGCATTATGATAAAATCTTTCAGTTCTCGCAAAAAACAGCCACATGAGCGTTAGCATTTAGCAGTTAGCAAAGCCGTCCATTCTTCGCATGCTTTCCAGAGTGTAAACTGAATGACGACAAGCAGCTAATATGTGTAATCTTGTGTTTCGCGTGACTTTGCTACCATTAGGGGACGTTTTATGATGTAACACGCGTCGGTGGGGAATGTGCGGACAAGCTTAAAGACTTTACCTCGTGTGTAAAAACCGGTATTTGTGTCATTTGACAGTTACATGTTTTCTCATGTAACTCACAATAAAAAACAGAAGAATGTTTGGAAATGTATTGACTCAAGCAAGTGTTATTACAAGGCAGAAAGTGACTGTTATGGTAAATGTGGGAGAAGTGTCTTGCCTCGGGGCACAAGGACAGCCCTTTCCACAATCTCCCTGCTGTGTTTTTTTTTTAGGTCTCCCATCCTTGTATTAACCAGGGCCTAGCCAGCTTAGCTTCTGATGGCTCCAACTTTGTATTGTTTTTTTTATATTGCGCTAAAATAACATCCAGAAGCAAAAATGAGCAGATTTGTTATTACTTTCTGTATATGATCATTACATCAAATAATAATAATAATTGATCCATCGATTTTCTTCCGCTTTATCCGTTGCCGGGTCGCGGGGGCAGCTGTCAAACCATGAGACGCCCAGATTTCCCTCTCCACGCACATTTCTTCCAGCTCATCTGAGAGAATCCTGACAGCAGCGGTCTCGGAGGACTTCACAATAAACGTGAAATTCCTCAGCAACAGATCAAACAGTTCTTCAGTCTTCATTGTTCGTCGTACAGTCTGACAGCAGCAGGCAGGATGGAGGATGCGGCCTCTGTGTCCGGTGTGTTCTGGGATCACTGCTGCTGAAAAAGGGCATTCCTGGTCCTTTGTCATTGACTGGTCACTGTTTACTTTGGACTAGCAGCTGGTCCAGGCCATAGTCCAGACCATAGTAGCTCCCGGTGGTACCACACATGCTAACATCACAACTAGCATTAGCATAATGAAAAAACTGTTACAAAGTTATTCTTATTTCTTTTTAATTATTTTGTTGAGTTTTATTTATTTTTTATTCGCCTTTAGTTTTATGGTGTGTGTTGTAACAGTGTCCTTAACTCCGCTAGCTCAATGAAGCCCAATAGGAAAGTGCTCATGAACAAAGTTTTGCTCAGACTCTCTCTGGCTCCCATTGACTTCCATTGAAATATAAACTCCTCTAGTTCAGTAACCTTTTGTGTCAGAGCTCAAAAAGTCTAGTTTAGAGCTTTCTATGATTCTTGTTGTTATAATTTGATACGACCTTTTTACATCATTAAAACTGCCACCCACTTGGTTTTATTACACAATTCAATATTTTGTGGTTAGAAAAATAGGTAAAGTCCAGCTTGAGTTCCAACTGTTTTATCTTAAAACTCCCAGAATTCTGTAGCTACCAGAACTCCCAGAGCAGTCAATATGAAGGTTCCCAAATGAATGGAGTTCGGAAAAGAAAAGAAAGTTTTTGCTTTTAATTAAATGAGTGAAAATTTATATCGTTTTTTAGATTTAGTTTTTACAGTTTTTAATTCTTGTATATGCTAGATGAAAAACTGTTTAATAAAATGCTAACTGCCACAAGTAAACAGTGTGTTGCTATGGTAACGAGCGGCTAGGACCAGTCTTGTATCGAGATGATTTCATGAACATAATAAATAAATAACATTGACATAAACAATATATAGAGACAGAAAAAGTCCCAACGCTGTACAGACCAAAAACTTACTAATAGGATTTATTTATTTTTTACTTCCGAGTGAATCATCAAAACATTCTGGTGATACATGCTCGTCAAATAAGACCTGAGAGTTTTGTTCAAAAAAGTAATTACACTTCCAAAACAAAAAGCCGTCAAATTGACTGCTCTGAGAGTTCTGCTGTTAAATAATAAATGCTGTCTGTTATGCACACCCCTCTCTGTATATTGCACCAGAGACGAGTGTAGAATTAGCCGAGCGCGTCCTAATGAGAGCTTTTGGGGCCCGGGACAGCAGCTGGTGCAGAGCCGAGGAATGATAATGAATGGACCGCAGAGACCTCACCTGAGCGTCAACACAGCTGGACTGGTCTGGACCGGTCTGGACCCAGAGGAGGCTCAAGAGAGGAAAACAGACCAGGTCCAATGAAAGCAACAGTCACCGGGTTGTCTGCAGGGATGTGCCTCATTTCACCTGAAGGGCATTCTCAGTCTCCCTTTCTCCTCAGTCACGGTAAACAAGTCGGTTTGGAGCAGTCAACACGCGTTCAACAGGTCCGTGTGAGTTTGGCGACATCGTGTGGTGGGAAAGTATATAGACACAGCACACTATGGATTATCATGGTTTTACCTATTTACTCATTTGATGTGTGTGTGTGTATGTGAGAAAGATATGATAGAGAGGAAGAGAGGGAGGGCGAGAGAGTCAGAGAAGAAGAGAGAGAGAGGAAGAGAAGGAGAGTCAGAAAGAGAGAGGGAGAGAAGGCAGAGGCAGAAAGGGAGTTAGAGAGAGACAGATAGAGGGAGGGAGAGAGGGAGGGAGAGAAAGGGAGAGAGACAGAGTCAGAAACTGAGTTAGAGAGAGACAGAGGAAGAGAGACAGAGGCAGAGAGAGAAAGACAGAAAGGGAGGGAGAGAGAGACAGAGAAGGAGGGAGGAGACAGGGAGAGAGTGACCGAGGGAGAGACAGAGAAAGAGGGAGAGAGAGACGGAGAGAGAAAGACAGGCAGAGAGAGACAGAAAGGGAGGAAGAGAGACAGAAAGAGAGAAAAGAAGACAGTCTGCTCTGTGGATGGGTCATGGACAAACTGTTTTCAGCCAAACTGTAAAGCACTTTATGTTTTGAATGGGAATAAGAAAATAAATACAATTTGAAGGATTATTAGCGAGACCTACAGAAAACACCACAGACCGTCTGTTCTCCTTTCACAGACCGACTGTCGTTTTTTATTGTTGCATTCCCTGTGTTTGGACCGTTTGATTCAGACTCGACTCCTATCCAGACATGTCCCAGTGTTAAAGTTTTGAATAACTTGCTTCAGTAATTCCCTGAGAAACCCCATTCATACACAAACCAAAATGTGTTTTATTGTACTCGTTTACTTACATTGTATTTCATAGTATCGTTTTTACAGAGCGCTGGAACAAAAGCGGTCACATTAAAAGCATGTTTGGTGTCGTTCCGATTAAAACAAAAGAAAATAGCAAAACATTGAATTGACAAACACGATAAAAGGACACGAGAGGCGTTTCTTAGTGATCGGTTGATTTCTGACAAAACCTTTCGCCAAACTACGGCCATTCAGACGCGTTTGTATTAAGGCAATGTGTGTTTATGTGAATGGCACAACAGCCTCGGCCATAACAGCACACACACGATAAGAATTACACTAAAACATGTCTTCTTTGTGTAACATAACGGCTTCGAAGTGAGAGAGACTGGAGCTGGAAAAGTTCAGGAGTCGTTTTCACTTCAGTCTTTTCATCTGTTGGTCCATGTTGTGGATTCTCGAGTCCATCTTGTCGACCTTGTTCATCAGAGAATCGATGGAGGCGTCTTGGTTGTCGATTTCAGACTGCAGACCCAGACCCAGACTTTTGAGCCTTTGGAGACCGACCGACATGTCATCTATGGAAAGGCAAGGCAAGTTTATTTATATAGCACAACTCATACACAAGGCAACTCAAAGTGCTTAACAAAAATATCACACAAGGAATTTCAATCCAGGAAAGTCCCACTGAGATTCCAGAGAGAGGGGAGCTATTGTACATGTTTTTAAAGGTAGGGGAAACCAGAGCATCCAACCTACGCAGACACAGGCAGAACATGCAAACTCCACTCAGAAAAGCCCTTCCTTTGAGACGCGAGTGTGTTAACCACTCAGCCACGGCATGTAATCACAGTGCATTAAAAAGAGTTGTATGCACAGCTATACTGAACAGTTTTCAACCTGGATTTGAACAATGTCGAGAAGTAGAAGCCTGTCTCACATTTTCAGGAAGACTGTTCTGGATTTTAGCTGCATAAATCTGAAATACTGCCTCCCCATGTTTAGTTTCCAGTCCCTGTGCTCTTCAAAGTCTGAGTTGGTTCATACGGGACTAACATGTTCTGGTTGTCATCAGAAAAGATTAGCAATATAGTAAACATATTAAGATTAGCATTGTAGCAGAGAGAACAAGCAGCGTGAGAAAAAACATACCGAGATTGTTGTCTAGGGTTTGGTGAGCGTCTCGGAGGACTCTGTTTTTAGAATATCCGTTTTGTCCGTACGAACCGTCATTGGAAGCAGCAGCTCCGAACCCTGTGGAGGAGAAAACAGAAGAAGATGGACCCTTCATACATCGATAATACTCCATAATTCTAAACATTCAAACCCACCTTCAGTCTCCAGCTTCCTCAGGTTGGGGTGGCTGGCTTGGTATTTCTCTTCATTTCCTCTGCTGTTGGATAAGGCGGTCTGCAATCTGAGAGAGAACACAGAACGACAGAAGATTAGGATATTTTTTCAGTCAATGGCTCCACCAAAAGAAAAAGGTTAAGATGAAGATCCTTTATTTGTACCACAGTGGGGGAATTTCAGTGTTGCATCACAAGTTCTCATCTCTTCTCTAACTTTAGCATAATAAAGATGCAAGAATTAAGTCTAAGAAGAGATTGTTCGTTGTACAGTCTGACATGGGTCATTTGTTTCCTAGGAATACAGTTGATTGTTGTTATCCCTTTCTAATAGAACAAAGGCTGTTATTTATGAATTATTATTTTAGGTTTATTTCATAGGGTCACAATCAACAGGTGAACCAATGCAGCATTTATAGCTAAAGCTAATTTGGAATGTCCGTACATAGCATAGACGCTATATTCGGAGAGCACAGACACAGAGCTGACGTCACCATGGTGTTTCAGCTAAACTTCTGGTCTGTAACCATCAGCTTTTGTTGTTCATTGTCAGACAAAATGACGCATGACAAAATAAACTTAAACTAATTGTATGTAAATGTTAAGAGAGCCGGTACCTGTCGCTGGCCTGGTAGGGTTTGGGTTCTTCAGGAGGAGGTTTGGTCTCTGGTTTTTTAAAGTAGTTGACGAGTCCACCCCAAACACTCTTGATGGTGTTGATGGACTTCTGACTGGTATTTAAGTCCTGGTCCATGTTGTCCAGCATCTTGTCCGAGCGCTTCAACACTTCCCCCTGACGCACAAGCTCCTGAAGCAGAAACACACAATATTTCTTGACTATACAGCAGACATGTCCAAACTCAGGCCTCTGTGTCGTGTTTTGTGGCCCTCTGCTGCTAACACAAAATGAGTAGTCTTTTAAGATCATAACCACAAGTTCACAGCGTCATCCAGCCAACTTCAGCTCAGCCCGGGTATACCTTGTTGTAACACTGAGAACCTTTTTAATTCAGCCTTGCATGGACTTTATTTGTTCGGTTTTTTATTGTGTCATAAAGTTCCATTATTGGCATTCATAAATCTGGAGAGAATTAGCAGATAGCATTGTTAGCTAGTTAGTTAGCATCAAAAACAGTCTCAGATCAAAACTGGTACCTTTCCCACAGTGGGGGAAACAATTAAGTTAAAAACCAATAGACTTCTTTATACACAATGGAAAGTCATAGAGGGTTTGTGGTTATTATAGTTTAGTAAAACTAGAGTTAACCATGTAGGCAAGTTTATTATTGAGCTGGACGTGAAAGGGGGTGGGCCAGTGATGGCTAATCATAAAGCTCAGAACAGCCTGAATCCTGGTACAGCAGTTTTACAATCCGTGTTGTGGGCCCCTGGATAACCCTGGTTACTAAAGAATCCCTCCAAGTAAAACATTTCGATTGCTATACAGCCATAATTTGGAACAAAACTCATTCAAATCGATAAAAAGGTAACTACAGACAGTGTTGGAGAGTTAATAGGTCATATATGTTGATTTTCAAAGTAAAACAACATTTAACTGAGACTTTTTGTTGGGAGTAAAGAGACCTCAGTTGGCCTTTTCCCTGTTTTTATAAATAAATGTGCTTTGCCTGTTTTGGTTCATTGCATTATGGGGAGTAGTGAGTGAATCAGTGTATGTGTGTGTATGCTAGTTTGTGTGCATAAGTTTAGGTCACTGTTATTGCTGGATATAGCCCCCAGGAGAATAGCCACCGCATCTCAGTGGCTATGGCGGATCTTAATAAACTAAACTAAACCATAAAAAAATAAGAGTTTTGTATTGAGTTATTGATGTTTGTAACAGTCCTAGGGCTTTGTCTGTTTGGTGCAAGTCTCCTTTTTACCTCCATTTCCTTTGAATCATTGGACCAACTGGATGAGTCCGTACCTCTGCGGTGTCGATGCCCATCTTCTCAGACTCGTAGATGAGGCCGATCGACCGGTAGGTGCTGTCCACGGCGGATTTCGCGGTGCGCATCACTTCCTGCTCGAGGCGCTGCTGTCGTCTCTCTGCTTCACTCAATCTGCTGTCGCCGAAGTCATCGTCGTCAAATCCCCGGTCTTTTTTAGGCCGGAAATCTTCATCGTCTTCATCATCTGCAAATGGATTGGTGGACTTCGGGTAAGCCATCTGCAGGGGAGAAAGAGAGAGTATACATCACCACACAAGAAACGTTTTATACTGGAAAATATGACCTCATTGTATCATTCTGTGATTGAAAGTGTAATAAGAGGGGTGTGTGTGTGGCTTAGCAATTTGACTGTGAAAACAAAACCCGCCCTAGATTATAAAACTAATGGGAGTAAGTCAGTCCATTCTTACAGCTCGAACACAGGAAATGCAATAATAACAAAGACATAGGAGCTGTCACTCCCGGATTCGTCCCGGAAACCGGATTCGTCCGGAAGTTCAGTTTGATCCAATGAGCACAGGCAGCAGTAGATTACGTCACGGAATCTGGACGGAAGCGGAAGTAAATATAAAAAACTACCTATTCATGCCTAAACTTAACCAGCCATTCCCATAAAATAACCCCAACCCAGCCTTAACCCTAAACTTAACCATCTTAATCAGACGCCTAAACTTAACCAGTCACCACTTAAGGACATATTAAACTTTTTGACATGAGCAAACTGAACTTCCGGACGAATCCGACTTCCGGACGAATCCGGTTTCCGGGACGAATACGGGAGTGACAGGAGCCATTGGATCATAGGGAGCGGGATGACCACTGTCCATATGTTAAAAATGCCCATGAATGATCCAGTGTGGGAAAAAAGCGAGAAACCTTGAGGAGGCAGATATTGACAGAGGGATCTGCTGTAGATCTAGGACTCAGGCTGTAAACGAGGTTTGCAACTAGCCTAAAAGGAGATTCAATACAAATGTACTCCAACCCATACTATACTCCAGCCTTTCCGGTTTAGTTAAATATTGTATTTGAGTGTTATGCAGAACATGGATGTATTATATAAGCATTCCCCTCAATTCAGATGATTCTCAAACTTATTTTGGATTCTTCACATGATCTTTATTCCCAGTATGAGCTATTCCCATCCAGCCACTATAGTGCTACGGCTAGAAATAAGAAAAGATATATTAACAGGTGTAAGAGCTCACTCTTATCTATGTCTGTTGACCTCCTGAATGCAGGCCAGAGTACAGCAGTGATGGTTTATGTCTCGGTCTCTGTATTCTCTTTGTCTGTGTATCTTTCTCTGTAGCAGGCGTTCATCAGGGAATTGTTGAGTATTTAGAGCACTGGTGTTTTCTTACTAGTGTTATATACGTTTGTTTATCAGTGCTATCAGGGCTCATGGCCTGAACTGTGCTGATGTCATGCACTGTAAACCAGATAAAGAAACACGCAAAAACAGTAAAAAAAAATAGCTTGCATATAGCTGCATGCCAATTTATTATGACCTTTAGGAGAAATAATTAAGAAAATACTTTTGTAGATGATTATGAGTGAAAGTCCTAGTCTGTGGAAGGGGAGCGATCCGGAAACGCTTTTATCCAGTTCCTCAAAAAGACTTCCCTGAAATAATAGACAAACACATTCTAGTGTATAATCTAGTACAAACTGTATCAGACATTATTGATAATGGCTTCACTTCTTCTTAATGGCACTGATGAAGACCTGGAACTACTCTCTCTACTTTTTTTGCATTTATTTACTTAACAATAGAACTCAGAGAGCGGTCAATTTGACAGCTTTTTGTTTTTCAACTGTAATTACTAATTACACAGCATAATACCTACCTGTGAATAAAAGTCAATAAAAGGTAATAAAAATTAAACTGGGGAAAAAAGAAAACACTTTCACAGAAATCATTGGTTTGAAAGAGAACAGTAAAAAAGGCTCTGGGAGTTTAAAACAGTTGTCAGCTTGTCAACGAGTTTAACCATTTGTTTCCGAGGACATTGTAATCATTGTAAGTCCGTCACATATTAGATTAGTCAAGCATTTGAGAGAATCAGCAGATAGTTAGCATTGTTAGCATGTTTGTTAGCCTGTGATAAGAGATGGCAAACAGACGCATTCCTAATATTTACAAATGAAACCTTAACAGACACACGCCACTTGCACTACATTTCATATAAAACGACATACGTTTGGATGTGTTACAGAGTGTATACACAGAAATCAAACCTTAAAAGAAGAACAGGTTTAAGGTTCGAGAAGACAGGGCGCTGCTGTTGCTAATCAGCTGACAGCGAACTTCCGGTGAATATGACGTAATGTTTGAAATATTTACAAATATTATTTAATTATTATGTTAAAACTTAACTATGAACACAACATGTGGCTGATATATAGACACAAAGTATAAACATTGTTTATATTGGAAAACAAATGTCATAATCTTTTCCTTCCAAGGCTCAACGGACTGCGGTTTGGCTACATCTAAAATCTTCCAAAACACCTCCTTTCTCCTCGTTCTTTGTTAATCTTTCTCCTTGCAATTGTGCGTAGTTGCTTTGCATTTTACCCAAGTGCTATCAAAAAGTTTTTAAAGTAGATAAACTGTCTAATAAAATCTCAATTATAAAGGAGAAAGAAGGACAAGGAATGATCGGAAAGGGTGCACTGTTTATGAAGTCGGATGCAGCCCATCGCCAGCTCACATTGATGTGGTGTAGTGGTGTAAACATGTCGGGGATGGAGAAGGGAGGAAGCAGAGGGTTTTATTTTAACACTGTCTTGTCTTTAGCTCGTTCATTAGCCACTCACCGCCCTGCACCAATCGAAAAGGTGAATATATTCCTTATTTTGCACTGTCTATATCTAATGCAGAGTGCGCGGCTCCACTTCCGCACCGTGCTGATGTGTTGACAAGTGACAGATAAACGCCAGCCACTCGGTTTGGCTTATTACCGCGTTATTGCTGCGAGGATGTATTAGCTGCTACGGATTTGCTGCTGTCATTTAGCCGTGTTTCAATCACTGTTATAAAAAGACAGAGGTGCAGCGAAGCCAAGACTGCGGTCGCACAGGTGCCTGCAGATGAGAAATGTGACTGAAGCCAATGAAGCTGGCTCAAGATCCACCTGTTGATGGAACCAGTTGTGCTGGTTGGCCTTTATTACATCTATTGATATTTTGTATTTTATTAAACCCCAATTTTGCACTGGACATAAACAATGGTGTCCTTCACCATTCACCAGTAGTAAGAATTATTTATTTATTTACCGTAATTTTCACATTTCTGGACAAAATACGATAAAAATAATCATTTGGTGCATATTTTAACTAACGCTAAAACAATAACAGTGATAACGCAATATTTTGTTTTCAGTGTTTATGAACTTTTCACCTGTCATTTTTGATTCACTCCATACACTGTGGTGATAAACTACTACTTTGGCCACCGCTGCCCTGGGGCACACTGACAGAAGCGAGGCAACCAGACTGTGCCATCCGCCTTTCAGACCACCACCAATCATTCACACACACACACCAGACTCATTCTAGGCAATGGGGGGGAAGTGTCTTGTCTAAAGACATGGAAACAGTTTAGTACTTTACAGCCCATCTCCCATCACAGAATTAACCAGGCCCAGGTCTGCTTAGCTGCAGAGGTCAGACAGGATGTGGCTTTCACATGCAGCAGGTGCCGTACACTTAACCTGCTAGTCTGTCTACTTTGTGACTTCCTGTAACTTACAATGAGAAAATAATTAAATGTGGATTTGCCCAGAAATTACATAGAAATTATCTTAAGTTAAAACTTATACTGGCCTACCCTATGAAATACTATAAACACAAGCCAAATGACTATTGAGAGCTTTTCATTTATACTGTTCTTTAACTTTGCAGGTTCTTCCATTGTGTTCCTGCTCCCATTTGATCGGAGACTGTTTTTGACGCTAACTCACATATTTTTATTCCAGGTCAGAAAGCTACAATGCATGTGTCCAGTAGAAGTGCGTGGCATGTTCACTCTGGATGTGAGGAGGAGGGACGCAGTGATCGCCCTCGGAGTCTTCCTGGTGGAATCTGGATTACAGGTTTAACACTTTTCAATCAGGAGAAACTCAAGAGAAAGACTGCATTAGAATTATGTATATTTACACATTTGCATGCATATAATGAAGCTTCATGATTAGACAAATAGAACTAATGTATTTATTGCATTTGAACATGAAATGGTCATTAAGATTTCGCCGAGTAGACCCCGACAGAAATACTGCATGACGTCTACAGGAGGGAATTTTATATAGATAATGAGTTTTTAGGAAACCTTGGGGCTTCAACCCTGGTGGGATGGAAGCTGAGCCGCTCTCATGACAGTTCATCGCTGAAAATGCGGTGACGGGGGGAGGAGGGTTGCTGCACAAACAGGGACTGAGAGGCTCTGTTTAAATGAAGTGATGATAATGGTTTAGTAGAAGGAGGAGTCAGTGTAGGAATTGGAATTTTTGCTTTAGCTGCATCCGTGTAGTGTAGAAGTGTAGTCTACTTGATAACTAGAAAAATACTTAATACACATTTCCATACCACAGAGATGATTTATAATGTTTAAACATTTTATTTTTAAATAACTGTTTTTATGTGGCCACATGCTTAGTTTACAGGTTTGTCTTATATAGGTTAAAATGCTCAAGCATGCTTTTGTCTTGTTTATGTAATTTTATTGACGTATTTTAGTATCTTGTTCAATTCTAGTTATTGTGGCGGCAAATGGGATGTTTAATATATTTTTGACAACTCTACTCTGTACCAGGCCCTGCACACAAGCACAGTTCTTTATGTCTTTTTTTTCTTCTTCTTCTTGGCAGCACAAAGAAATAATTGTCCCCTATTTACTGAGCCTGTTGAAGGGGCTGCCGCAAGTGCAGTGGATTGAGGAAAACTCCAGAAAACATGGAAAGGGTAAAAATGAATCCTCTTACACACATGTTTTATTACTGACGGTACTTTGGTAGTGAAAAGTAGTAAGAGCACACAAGGAGCACACAAAATATACGATATAAGTAGCTGTAAATGCTTCTTAGCTAGCTGTAAATTCTACAGAAAAGCAGCAGGTAAATATAACGTGAAAAGCAGTGGGTTAGTGTTAGATTGAAATGACTAAATCCATTGTATTAGTCTACATTTCAGTCAATTATCATATTATTTGAACTTATTTCTCTGAGTTCTGTGTCAAACAGTTGGTGAAATTCAGTGAGAAACTCTCAGAATAAGGTTTTGCATTAATCTCACATGCCCCACTTTGAGAACCACTGGTGTCCTTTCTTTGCAGACGGTCTTCCTGTTGCTGAAAACTTTGTGTTCTGTTTGGTGACGCTTTTGGCAGACGTCGCTCAGCAAGATCCTGGTTTCAGGAATGAGGTCTGTGTTCGTAGCACAGTCTGACACGGCACTGTTGAACTTAGGGACTCACCCATACACTTTTTTCATGTCCAAATTATTCAATTCTTCATTCAGTCATTTTCTAAACCTTTATTAGTCCATTTCTGGTTCGGGGGGGACAATCAGCTGCCGCCAAATGCTCATAGCACCAGTCCCTCACTGATCCCCCGGCAGGTGGTGAGTCCACAAGAAGATAGCTTCTCCGTCATCGGTGACACAGCCATGGTGTTTCAGCAGCTTTTCTCAATTCTATTCAATTAAATTTATTTTTGTATAGAGCTAAATATCAACAGCAGTCGTCTCAGAGGACTTGATTCACCAGCAACAGATCAGAGAATCAATAATAAAAACACATAGAAACCATTGGTCCATAGTGAAGGGAGGACCACTCTCCATACTTTTTAATAAATGTCCTTAAATGTCCCGGATCATCACTGACCTTAGACCTTCCTGTGTCAGCAGTGGGAAAATAGGGAAGGAGGTTTTTTCTGCTCCCACCCACAGACAGGGTCTATGTATAGATCCAATGAGGCTGTGCGGTGCAGAACTGAAGAGGATCCGAAGCGGGAAGGGGAGTGCAGTCCACCAGTCTGGGCTGCACCAGTTGGTCTCCCCCCGGCCTGAACTTGTGGGCTGCAAAAACACTCTTTTTTCCTTTTGAATCACAGCTACTTTGGGTAAAAAATACTTACTTGAGGGAATTGACTAAATGAGGTATAACGTGCCATGATAGCTATAATAATAGAATAACCATATAGTATTAGTTAATTCTCTTTTTGGGTGCATCCCATGTAGTAAGTGACTTTTCACTTACTCTCTTTGTCCTTTGGAATTTTCAGATTTTAAACAGCTTAATGGAGGTCATGAATCAATTACAAGAGATGTGCCAAACCCCCGATAACCACGACAAAGGTACAAAACAGAAATAATGTTGTTGTTGTTGTCTGTGTCTGTGTTGGACCTTGAATCTGTAATAAAGTTATCTATATATTTGTTGGGTTCTTAAAATGCATGTGTTGTCTAGTGTCGCTGTGCAGATATGTGGTGCCGAGCCTGCTGGGCGTGAGTCGGGCGTTTGGGCGTTACAGCGTCACGGAGGAGGCTCTTCTGTCCAAACTGTTTCCCAAAGACTCTCCTCCGGCTGCGTCTGTGGTGGAGGAGCCCGAAGGAGTGCGCCGCCGCTCCTTCAACGACTTCCGCTCCATCCTGCCCTCCAGCTTCCTGACAGTCTGCCAGAGCGACACCCTGCGGCGGCGAGCGGGCAGCAGCCACGGCAGCTTCACACAGGTGTCCATGGAGACAGTTGATGCTTTGATTTCAGAATTGACCTTCATTATGAAGTAGTCAATGGGGAGGCACCATTTCAGATTTATGCAGCTAAAATCTGGATCAGTCTTCCTAAAAATATGAGACACTCTTCTACTCTGACAATATTCAAATCCAGGTTAATAACAGTTCTGTACAGCTGTGCGTACAACTGAAGGACTCTTCTCTGTCATATATTGTGTCCATCTTGTTTTTTTCATCACTCACTTCTCAGCAAGAAGGTCCTGGGTTTGAATCCCGGTCAGAACAGGGTCTTTCTGAGTGGAGTTTGCGTGTTCTTCCCATGCCTATGTAGGTTTCCTCCAGGTGCTCCGGTTTCCCCTACCACTGAAAATAAGCACAATAGGTAAAATCCTCCAGCTCCGGTCCTGACCAAGAGCATCGACATCTGGTTCAGGTTCCCGGATGCTGTTACCACGGCGACCACTGCTCCTGACTGAAGCCTTAGCATCAGGATTGGTCAAATGCTGAGGATGAATTTCCCTACGGGATTCATAAAGTGCACCTTTACCTTTGTAGGCAAGGAGAGTTTATTTGTATAGCAAAGTTCATACACAGGCTATACAAATAAACTGGTGCTTTACAAAACAAGATAGAAACAATACAAGTCTTTACAATCCTAAATAAGCACATTAAAAATAGTGAAGATAAAGCCCCTGAGTTGTCTGCAGCTAAACAGATTTTAACCTGGACTTCAGAGTAGAAGCCTGTCTCACATTTTCAGGAAGACTGTTTCAGATTTTTGCTGCATAAATGTGAAATGCTGCCTCCTCAATGTTTAGTTCTATACAAATAAACTGGCCTTGGCTTAAAGTATTCAAAAGACCTGGAAGAAAATATATTCTTTATTCTTGGATGTTTCCGACGTATTTTGTTATATTTGTTTGACTGAATTACTTTCATGTTCAAGGTTTGCCAAGATCCCGGCCACTCGCCCTGCTCTCCCACAGCTCCAGTTCCTCACAGTTTTGAAGGTACATTCAAGAAATCTTTATTGAGAAAAGGTTTGATAAATAGCTGTGCTCATAAGTTTACATACCCTGACGTGATTTTGTTTTCTTGGTCAACTCATGGAGGTTTACTCGTTTAAAGTCCTCATTTCATTTTAAAGTACCCAATACCCAAGATCAAAAGCGTTGATACTAGTGCTGTCCAACGATTAAAATATTTAATCGCGATTAATCGCATGAATTTCATAGTTAACTCGCGATTAATCGCAAATTAGTCACACATTTGCGTGCTGTGTGCAATTGCTTTTTTTATTGAAAACAATGTGTAGTGTTATATTACACACTAACATTTGATGCAAAATCATCAATAAATGGATGACAAAATAAATAATTGGTAACAAAAAGCCCCTTCAATGTGTGTGTGTGGGTGTGTGTGTGTATGTGTGGGTATAGACCATAGACTGTATAGAAACATCATGGTGTCATTATGATGATGATAAACAATCTGTAAATATTTTGTAAATTTGTTCATGTAAATACTCTATGCTGTTTCTCTGTTTACCTTCGGTATATCTATGACTGTATACTGTTTGCTTGTATTGCCTTTTTTATTAACCCCTCCCCCCATCTCCCACTTCATGCCCCCCCCCCCCCCCCCTCCCCTCCTATGTGCCCTTCTAGGTTTCTTCTTTGGCCCCCTGTATCTCCAACTACATATTGTTTGTAATCTCTGTCTACAATGTATCTGAACTAGTCCTTTTCTTTGTTTCTATTTTTTTTTCTGTATATGTGTTTGTCTGCAATAAAAAGTAAAAAAAAAAAAAATATTTTTTTTTATCGCGCGATAAAAAAAATGACGGCGTTAATATTGATTTGCGTTAACGCGTTAATAACGCGCTATTTTGGACAGCCCTAGTTGATACCTTTGTGATTTGCGGATTAGAAAAGCAAAACCTGAACACAACAATGGGGATGGATGGGGACTTTATTGTTTACATTTTCACATACACATTCATGCACATACAAATATCCAGAGCCAGGAGCTAACACACATCCACATACAATGAATTTTTAACATTTTAAACATGCAAAAGTTTTACACAACATTTTTCAGACAGTCTGTGGAACTTCCTCTCTGGTTTCAGGCTTGTACCTCACAGAAAGCAGCACAGTGGACCCAAACCTGTACTTCTCCACGGTCAGCTCCAGTTTCTCCATGTCTCCTCTGTTCCTGTGCGCCGAGGAGCAGGAGGTGGAGGTGTCCATGGATGTCCTCAGGCAGCTCCTGGACCTGGTACCTTCAAACAACACGCTCCCGTCCTCTTCGTACTTTTAATTGCAACTTGTTTTGTTTAAATCTGCAGGTTCAAAAGTTGGTTTCAGATTCGTTCTTGCAGTCGCTGGACACCACAGTCTCTGAGGTCACACAGGTATGCAGTAAAATGAGAGACAGAGAAGCAAGTCCCAGTTAGACTCACCCATTCTCACCCTCACAGAATCACAAAGTTAACAACAATTCTTGTCATGGGTCAAAAAATTGTTTTGCCAAGAGGAGGGACTACTTGCAATCCATTACTTTTGGATTAATACCTATTTTACACAGATATATAACTTTTAAGTGCTTGAAGTAGTCTCATAAACTCTAAATGATGGTGTGTCTCTGTCCTCAGTCTCACCCTGGGATCCATCTGTTCTACAAAACCTTCAGTGACCCTCTCTATGTGTGTGTGTTCAAAATGCTGCGGGACACACTCAAGTACATTCGAGGTAAATCCTGATTATTCATTGTACTATAGCAGAAAAAAACAAACAATTAAATTAGCTTTAATGTTGTATAACATGTAATATGGCCGTAATATGGTTCATATGACTATATTACATGTTTCTGACTTACATTGGCCCCAGTCTCTCTGTGGGGGCCACACTTACTTTAAACTTTGACATTTAGTTAAATACCTTTTTGCTGACCACATGTTTGAGACCACTGTTTCAAAGTGAAGCAGACGTGAACCAGCGTGAATGCGCCCTAAAACATGAAATGCCACTGTACTTCTTCCTGTATAGATAACATATAGATCCTGTACAAAAACGACACCATATTGTTATTATTGCGGTGCGTCAAATAGTTCTGTTTATTAACCCCGATATTCTGTACTCGTTGACAGTTTTACCGGCGGCTTTCGTTCGGGAAGTGCACGACTTTGCCCTGGCGGAGTTCAGCAGCAGTCAGTCGGAGCTGCAGAAGGTCCTCCACGACACCGGGGGGCTCCCAGTGGAACAGAGCCCCCTCAAACTCCGCTGCCAAGCCATCGCGGCCTGTGTGGACCTGATGGTGTGGGCCGTTAAAGACGAACAAGGTGACGGGCCAGAGGAGGACGCCACTGGAACGTGGTGTTAGAGGGAAAAACATGGATTCTGTTTAGTATCGCGGTTTTTTTTGGGCAATTAAATTTGATACAGTGCCAGGAATGAACCAGACAGAGACGGATCGTGGTACGCCAAACTCTGGAAGTTTATTTAAGTTTCTCTCAAGTTCCAGTGGTTTAGAGCAAAGTATCGTGATAATTAATACAAGAATTATCTGTTTAACTTTTGTGTTTTCCCTGCGTTTACTCTCTAATTTACACTTGCGTATTCCACCCACAAGGGGGCGCTTGTATCGGTGGTTTGTTTTCATCCATTCATTCACCATATCATGTTTTTGCACTACCCTCCTAAGTTTTTGCACCTCAGTTAATGTGAGATTTGAGTCTTATTTTCCTCATTTTTTGTAATGCCTTTGAATAATATGAGGGACATGAATCGCAATAAATCGCAGAATCGAATCGAAAAAAATTTAAGAATCGCAATAGTATTGAATTGTGGCGCAAACAGAAAGATAGATGTATAGATAGATACTTTATTGATATTCAGGAGTCCAGCAGCAGAAGACTCATCCAGGTTTGTTGTACAGTCTGACAGCCAAAGGAACAAAGCATCTCTTGAAACGTTCCGTTCGGCAGCGCAGTGATAGGAGCCTTTTATCGCAATACTATAGCGCAAAAATATTGAGAAAATATCGCAATACTAACGAAAAAGTCACATTTTTCAGTTCCCACCCCCACTGGAACCATGTGCCAGTGGTGCATGATTGAATTGTCCAGTTAGATGTTTACTAAATGTGGATTATTTATGTTTTTAGGGGCAGAGAATTTGTGCACGAAGCTTTCAGAGAAACTCCAGTCCAAAACCTCCAGCAAAGCCATCATCGCCCACATGCCCCTGCTCATCTGCTGCCTACAGGTACAACCAACTCAACTCAATTCAATTTGTATTTCCCACAACATAAATCCCAACCTTGCACTCGTCTCTGTGAACTTGCTCTTTCTCGCAGGGCATTGGGCGTCTGTGCGAGCGCTTTCCCGTCGTGGCGAACTCTCTCACTACCTCACTCCGAGATTTCCTGGTCGTCCCTTCACCCATTCTGGTTAAACTCCACAAGTACCACAGTCAGTACAGCACAGGTAACTTCCAAATGGGTTTTATATTTGTGAATGATCAGTCGCCGGACCCTCGAGGGCGGATAAAAGAACGTTCAGCAGCAGGCGGGCAGAGTTTTGACCTGATTATTGATTCTCTCTGACTCAATAGTTTCCATTCACTGCATCTCAATCTAGTTTTATGTCGTATAGACTGATTTTTAGTTTTGAATGTTCGCTTTTTGTGATTTATGTCCATGATTTGCACACAGGCACAGGGGAGATCCGGATCAGTGTGACGAACGAGTATTCCCAGTCCACTCTGAACTTCCTGTCAAACAGAAAGGACCAACCATCGATGTACGAGCAGCTCAGAGATATAGCCCTGGACAATATCTGCAGGTCAGACATTATTATAATAAATGTTATTAGATCGATACATACAGCAGATAGATAGATACATACAGTAGATAGATAGATTGATACAGTAGATAGATATATACAGTAGATAGATAGATAGATAGATACATACAGTAGATAGATAGATAAATACAGTAGATAGATACATACAGTAGATAGATAGATTGATACAGTAGATAGATATATACAGTAGATAGATAGATATATACAGTAGATAGATAGATACAGTAGATAGATAGATACATACAGTAGATAGATAGATAAATACAGTAGATAGATACATACAGTAGATAGATAGATATATACAGTAGATAGATAGATACATACAGCAGATAGATAGCTAGATAGATTGATACTTCATTGATCCCCATAGGAGAAATTCAGGTCTCCAGTAGCAGCAGAAGCAGATCCATTCATACAAACACAACAAATAAATATATAATTCTAAAAATAGCTAACAAATGCAACAGCACTTTAGGTCACAGAAGCAGAGGTGGTGTAACCACTTGGTTCGGACCATTTTCTCTGCTCTAGTGCAAAGTGAAATGCTGAATGCTTTGTTAGCGTTTTTCAAAAAGTTTTAATGTTCACTCCTATATTGTATTCTCTAAGTAATAATTACAACAATAATTATATATAATTTTGTTTATTTATTTATTTTTGAAACACCTAGTTTTTTATTCTAGGCATCTACAACATGTTCGAGGTATATTTCAGTTCCAAGTTGCAAGTGGAGATAGTGACTAGAGCAAACTATTAAAGGATTAAGTAATTGTTTATGTCTTGTTTTGATAAGCACTTTGAGTTGCCGTATGTATGAACTGTTCTATACAAATAAACTTGTCTCCAATCCAGAGGTCTAAAGGCGGGACTGACAAAAGACGATGATATTGTCAAAGCTTTTCTGGCCGGTTTATCCATCCGTCTTTACAATTCACAAGACAACGACAAGTAAGATGATCCTGAATGTTTGTCAAAGCAAAATATTGTACTTTCTTATTTAATCATAAAAACCGTTGCCATAGGGACGCACACCTGATACCGGACCACACTATCAGAGCCTTGGGCCACATCGCGGTCGCTCTGAGAGACTCGCCTAAAGTCATGGAACACATTCTTCAAATCCTGCAGCAAAAGTTCTGTCAGCCGCCGTCGCAGCTGGACGTCCTGATCATCGACCAGTTCGGCTGCATGGTCATCACAGGAAACGTGAGTTCAATGAGATCAGGCGTGTCCAATCCTGCCCGCATTTTGTTTTGGTAACTTTCAGCATTGATGGTAAGGGGCTACTATGGCATGTTATACTTGATTTTAATCCCCATTATCTGAGGTAAACAACCATATGATTGAGTGTTTTCTAACCCTAACCCTTTTTATTTTTCTATCTAACTATCACTCTTCCAATAAATCCCTTCTTAATGTTTGGCCCAGTTGTGGTTGAATCCAAACCTACATGGAAATAATGTCTAAACTCATTTCAAAAACATTTGTCAAAAGAAAAAAAACATGATCAAAATTAGGTTATTATAACAGGTGAAACTCGGAAAATTAGAATATTCTTCAAAAGTTGATTTGTTTCTGTAATTCAGCTTAAAATGAATGTTGAATGAATTGTGAAGAGAAAAGTTTTTCTCCAAAGCAAGCACTCGATGGACCCGCCCACTCTCACCACCACTGCTTCCTGATTGGATGGTATACATTTGAATTCTTGCTACTATTTAGGACTATAGAAAAATATATTGAATTTAATTGAATTGAATCTATGATATAGACTCAATACACACAAAGTGACATACTGTATGCCTTTTTTGTTTATATGTTGATGATCCGAGTTACACCTGTAATATATTTGAACAACCTTGCTTCAAATGATCTTGCAGATAAAGATCCTACACTAAATCTTGTTTTCATGATTAACTAAATAAGATTTTCTTCAAGGATTTACTCTGCCTTACAGCTGTACATCTACCAAGAAGTGTGGAATCTCTTCCAGCAGATCAGTGTGAAAGCAAGTTCAGTTGTTTACTCTGCTGCTAAAGACTACCAGGATCATGGATACAGGTCAGTGCACCGGGGGTCTCTGCTTTCAGAAGATTTTGGCAGTTTTCAGACACTCAGAACACATTCTCTCCCTACTCCAGCTTAGTTCCATTGGTAAAGACACATGTAAACAAACTCTGGCGCCCAATCGAGATGTGAAAAAGCAGTCCGTTTGGAGGAGCTGGTGAACGCAGATTGTACTATGGTTCAGCTGCATACAAACACCTCAATCAGATCCTCATGAGACAACGGGCAGTGATGCATTTAAGAGCACAGAGCAAAGCCAAACGTGTAGAAATGTATGTATTTGGACGTATATAGGCGACTCACTCATGTTGTCTGGGATCGATACACAGTCCTTCTCTGCATGCGTTTTGTTGTTTTATTTTGTTTTGTTGACGCAAAGTGGAACTCTGCAAACGTGGTGCTTTTGGGAGCAGCTGCGGAAATGCAATGATGCCTGTGTAAAAATCAAATGCCCAAAGCAAAATCAATGTTGTGTGGTCACATTTGCCGCCTGTGTGCTTACAATATATGTATTATAGCAGTTTTATTCACAATTACAGTTACAGTGTTTGAGTGTTCATGGAAAATTACAAGATGCCATTGAAAGCCTCAGGTCTGGGGCGCACCGAGACAGGACCAAAACCCATAAGACCAAATCCACCATTTTTTGAACGTTCTTTGTAGACTCACTCTGGTATCTAAGTGGAGGTTACATGTTTTTTTATTTTCTTAAAGACACTGTTCGTTGGCAGTAATCAACGCTTTGGCTAACATTGCCGCCAACCTCAATGAAGAGCAGCTCGTGGACGAACTGATGGTGAACCTTTTAGAACTGTTTGTCCAGTTGGGTCTGGAGGGGAAGAGGGCCAGCGAGAGGGCCTCCGATAAGGGACCGGCTTTGAAAGTAAGTGCTGTACTCAAAAGAATAGCTTTACTTCAGACCAATAGACTCACCAGTGGTTTTGTCATCCATGTTGCAGGCATCAAGTAGCGCTGGAAACCTCGGAGTCCTTATTCCAGTCATCGCTGTGGTGAGTAATGGCAAAAAAACACTAAACATCAAGCAACTTTGTCAGTCCAATTTCTGTAATTAAAACCACATGCAGTTTTTGTATTTTATATATGTTTTATATATTATATTTACTGTATATCTGTAGTGGGTTAGGATTAGGGTTAGGGTTATTGAGTGTTATGAGCCTGTTCCCCTTTGTGATTTGAAAACAATTTTCTAAACCGCTCAGTCTTTAACCCTGTCTGGAGACTAGTCCATTTGGTGAATGTGGTTTTTGATTCTGTTGGGCCTATAATAAAGGTTTTCTTATCTTATATTGTTAAAGAGCTGAATGTTTGCTGTGTGACTGTTTGGCTAATAAGATCCAAGAACACACTGTTCTTCCCTACTTTAATTCGAACAAAATCTGTCACTGATTTTAAAAGGTTATATATATATTTTTTAATCTGCTTACTCAAGTAAATGTTATGTTTAAACTTCTTGGTAACTTGTGTCATCGTGGATTATAGACTTTCATCACATCTGTAGACGTACATAAAGGGCAGAGCTGGTGAACGAACTGTTGCTAAAATCCTGTAACAGTTTTTTGACCTGACACTGCACTGAAGCCGCCACTGCTCCTGACAACATACCCTAATGGCATTTAAGGATGTGTCAAATGCAGAGAAAAAAATATAAAATATACCTGAATCTTGACTTAACCTTAAGGATCCGCCAGTATTCCTTTTAGGTGTCTTCTTCAAACATTGGGATGCCCCAGGGTTCAACCTTCGTGCCGGCCCACTTCTCTTCCCCTTGGGGCTGTTTAGTTTAGTTTTTCTCAGTTGACTCATCAAACAGTTCTTTTTTTAAAGTTTATTTAGATTTTGAAACACATTTAAGGAATACATTTTGAAATATGTTGATGGAAAGCCTGGATGAATTAGGAATTTCAATGACTTCTTTATAGATGGAGAAAATGTACACATGCATTAGTGACAAAATCAGAAATGGTTGAAAAATATGAAGCAACTATCTTAAAGCCTGTTTTTTAGTGTCAATATAACAATTACTGGAATTACTTCAAAAATAAGCATAACAAGACATTTAAACTTTAAAAGATTTAAAAGATTTATACATGCCTTCATCGTTGACATTTTGGCCAAATGTCCTTTTTTATATATGATACCACTACATGATCATCTTAGGAAACTTAAAAGCTTTCAGACCAATACCTCACATGCGTGTTTTAAATCTCCTACAATGTGCCACTTCAATATAACTAGAATACATAGAAAAACAATTAAAACATGTATAGACTCCTGATCATAATTTTAAGACCAGTTTGAAAATGACAAGAATTGAACCAGAAGAAATTAAGCAGAAATTGGCTTTGGATCATGATACAACTTTCTATGAACATTTTCTATTGAACACTGCTGAATATTTTAAGTAAGTAAGTAAGTAATCTTTATTTATATGCCAGACCCATTGTACATGTTTTCTTTGAAGAAACAAAGATGTGACTGTTTTCTGCAGGTATTTTTATCAGTCCAACCTCATTAACAGGTGCGCTGTCTCTAAAACTGAAAAAAATCCAGGCTCAAAACAAAAAAGGGCCAACTGCCGCACATTAACGCTATAGAAGAACCCAAATACTTTTAATTCTTAAGATTTTTGAACTGCTTCTGTAATATGAATCAGTAGTGTCGCTTGTGATGATGAGGCGGGACAGTTGTGGTTATATCTGCGAGGGGTTGGACACTCGGCCCATGAACACGAGGCAGTCCGTCCGGTGCTCGTAGATCAGGAAGAGGAAGGGATGATCCACCGTGAACCTGCTCTGAGACGACAGCGGCATGAAGCCCACCTGGGTCAGAGCCGCCGCCTCCGTGCCCTCCTCGTTCACCGTGATCGTGCCCTGATGCTTCAGCTGCAAAGCAATAAAAACACAACACCGGCATTACGAAACATAGGGTGTACATCAGGAGTGGACTGACCGAGTTCTGACGTCACCGTAAGTGTCAGCCGAATGTAGAAGAAGCAGATTTGAACAAAAGCTGGCTCAGACCTGGGTAAAGTGTGGCCCGGGAGCTACAACCGGCCCGATTAACATCTCTATGCGGCCCCAGACCCCTCCCAGTCTGTTGCTTTGTCTAAATGAACCAGGAGTCAATAGGCAATTAAGGCTTGTAACTTAAAATGTGCTACATGTGCTTGTTACATATTTATTCTATGGCCCCAAAATGTTATAATGAACAGATTTAAAGTAGCTTTTACTAAAAAACAAAAAAATACATAAAAATGGGCCGGCCCCTCCACAATAGGGCAATATCCCTCCGAAGAAAATACCCGCTCACCCTTGAGCTAGCTGGAGCCAACTAAATAGGGATTTGTTCTGCGGCGTTAGCTTTGCGCATAACAGAGGCAGACGTGTTGCTAAGATGGTTGCTAAGGCGAGCTCGAGCAAAGGTCCCCTGCAAAGGTATCGGATAGGTCAATTCTTATGGCTGATATCTAGATTTACAAAGACGCTAGGATCACAGAGAGAACAATGGATTTTTTTCAAGTCCAAAATGGTGAGTGTGACACAAGCAGAAGATTTTACTTTTACATGAAAATCAGGAGCCAGACCAATTTGCGGTAAAACTCTGTCTATGAGAAATTCCCCATTGAACTGGCAGGTTAGCATTGTCCATCTATATACAGTCTATGGTACAAATGCTATAATAAATATAAAGACCCACCAAATGAAGTGAACCTGTCATATTCTCTTTGAACTTCTAAGATGAGTTATATCATAATGGTTGTTTCCCCTCACCCAGTTCATGAAGATCTTTTCGGACGTCATTCCACTGAAATCTGCACTTTGTTCAAACAGCTCAGTGAGGCCCAGCTCCTTCAGGTTTGGGATCAGGTCATAGCTCTGCTCCAGTTTAAACCGAGGAAGCACAATTTCTCGTGTCCTGTGGAAAAACAAATACAATTCAATAGGTATGGGAAGGGAAACTTTATTTTTCCTGCATGAAAAGTTATCCTCTGCATTTGACCCATATTTCAAGTGGAACCCATCTCCAGATGTTGATGCACGGACAGGATTATACCTATGGCTCATGGTTTGGTTGTGTCTAGCACCAAGACACAAGGAGAAACATGCAAACTCTACACAGAAAGACACCGAATCGACACAGGATGGAACGCACCAGTTTCTGTGAAGCACGAATGCTGCCCACTTAGACAATAATAGCTGCCTGTTACATAATTGTACTGGTTTTGTGTCATACGGCAACCCAAGAGAGAAACTTGTTCTACTTTCTTGGTTATATATTTGGTAGATGTGCTGACCTAGCCTGGTTGTACCCCACCATAGTACAAATTACATTTTGTACTAAGGTCTGGATTTGCTCCATTGAGCTCCGTTTACAGGTGGGAGGGGTTAACTCCTTTTGCAGATTGAAACGATTGGATCTGAGTTTACCGTGACGTATGTATTGCGCCCGAGTCTGTCGTTAGTATTTAGCATTTAGCCTAGCTTCAGCCATCTCCTTTGCCGCTAATGGAGCCCGTGGGGAGTAGCGCGACAATTTATTCAAGCGATCACATTTGCTAAACCTTCCTCTTGCTCCGGCTTCAATTTCTTGATAGAACCAGACCGGATTACTTTACTATCGCATTTTTCGCCATTGCCAAACTACAACCTTCCCGTTCGGCGCAAACTCTTGACATCACCCACAACCAACTACAACACCTGCCTTCCGCGCTCGCTGGTAGGTCGGTCGAAATTCAACCGATTGTAATTGCTAACACAGGGACCAGACCCAGACGTTACATGCAGTGAAATGATGATTGAGCGGAGTGTACGGATGGATAAGGCCAGGTTTGTGCTGACCTGTTGGAATTATCGTAATTTCCGGACTATAACCCGCTACTATAACTTTTTTCTACTGCTTTGAACCCTGCGGCTTATTTAGTAATGCAGCTTATAAATGTGTATAGTTTTATTCTGGTAGAGTTGTCGGTTCATGGTATCTTTATTATTCTAGAGGGACAAATGTGGGACCGGAGTTTATGAATTTATTGTTTGACTCCATAAAGTTTTAGTAGCTAAAGGACACTTGTTTATTTTCAAAATAGATGAAGGTGAATGAGTTAAATTGTTAAACAGCTCGACCTTAAATCCTTTTGTGACCAGCTAAAACCGTTTTCTATTTCCTATTTTAAAAATTTGGGAGGTGAGGCTTATATAGAGGTGCATCTTATATAAAGGTTCCTCCTATAGCCCAATAAGTACAGTATTCTAATTTCTGAGTAGACATTTCAACTCCCATCCAGAAGTCATTTTACAATCAAATCTGAAAACTAAGTGACTACTTTTGGAACTTGTTCTGCGATGACTCACTCCTCGATGAATGATGGATTACACGGCTTTGTCTCTAAGAATTTCTCATGTAACTTCTTGTCACATCTTGTATTAGCCTCTTTCTGCTCACCTGTTCGTCATGTTTTTGAGCCACTTGTAGACAACCGTTGGGGAAATCTCCTGCTCCAGGCTCCTCATGCCTGTGATCTTTCGTGGTAGTGCGATTAGCATGCTGATGTTTCCTGTGTACGGGAGCTAAACAACATGAGAGAAGATAAGATAGACTTTATTGATCTCACACTGGAGAAATTTACAGGTCACATTTGGCACAGATGGAGTCACTCAGATTGTGCAAAAGACAGAAGTGTGCAATGTTAAAGGTAAAAAATCTGTGCATGAAGAAGTTCCGTATTAAAAACATACACTTTTAGACTGATTGAGTGAGATTTTGTGGTAGAGCTATTAGCATGCTGATGTTTCCTGTGTACGGGAGCTAAACATACACTTTTAGAGTGACTGGGGTCTAAATTGTAAAAGAGAAGAACTGGCCTGTAGAACGTCACAGTCCAGCTCGTGGTCAGTCGCAGCCATGTAGTTCCCTTTGTTCGTCATCATCGGCACACGGACGTTCGTCTTTTCATTCACGCGGAAGTTGCGATAGTAAGTCGTTTCTTTGGGGAATTTCTGCTCCCATGTGCCTGTGAATAAAGGTACATTGATATACCGAAAGTTTCACTATTGCTGGTGGAAAGTAACAAAGGACTAAAGTTAAAGAACGGGACTTAAGTAAAATGTATTGCTAATGGTTCTTTCGGTATGTGTAGTTTCTGATACTTTGTTTGTAACTGAAAAGTAGAAAGCATTAAATTAGAGCAATGACGATTATTATTTTTCATTTGATTTCATGTTCTTTTGCATAGTTGTCAACTATATTCATGGTCAAATGTTCATGCATATCTCTATAGACCCCAAAACATGATTTTTTTTTTTTTCAGATTCAAGCATTCCAGATGCAAGATTGTAAAGAATGTATCTTGTATCCATTTGTGTGTTAAACCTAAATAACAACTGCACTTATTCCACATGATTTTACCTTTAAAGTACAAGTAGTTGAGCAGCATCAGGACCATGTCTGGATCTACATTTTTAAGCGGTTCCTGGATGAGTCCTTTGGTCATCTTTTGGATCCTGCGATTTGCCTTCTCCAGAAAACTCGGATCCCTGAAGTTCACCGACTGCGGCTCCGCAAAGTAGTACGCCTTCGTCTCTGCGCGGAAATCCTCGTTGACCTTGACCTCCTGCTTCACGTAGACGTCGTTGACCGAGCGCAGCGTGTAGCCGAAGTTTCTGCGGAACAGTCTGTGCGTCAGCTTCCGGAAGAGCTTGTGTACCGTGGTGTTGTCGTAGTGATGGCTGGCGTTCACAAACTCGGCGAACCCCGCGGCTTTGTAGATCTGCGCGTGGGTTTTGGGTCCCGCCCCCAGAGACATCATCCCCATGGCGATGGAGATGCCTGCGGGGGCCAGCAGAATGTTGTCGGTTTGGTTGAGGTCGTTGCGGAGGCTGCGGTAGAGGCTGAACCCGAATTTGGCGTTGACGATGTTCAGGCGCTGAAGGCGAGAGCGGCCTTGGAAGAGCCGCAACAGTCTCGCTCTGCGGATTTTGGGATCAGTGGATTCGGCAAAGATGTCGATGTCGGGGGCTGGTGTGGCAATCTCGTCAATTTCATCTCCTTCCCTAAAAAAATGATTATTCAGATTCAGTTTATTTGCCTCCTTGGAATACATGTGCAAAAGTACCTAGTGTGCACCAGACAAGTACATAAAATAAAACAACCTGTCAACCAATTGTCAATGTGAAATCAACAAAAACAGTTTCAAAAACAAGTGCAAAATGAAAGTGCTTTATTGAAACTGACAACAGTTGTATGTAGTATGTATTCTATATTGAAAACAATATCATGTTATTAAAACGGGTATCAACCTATTTAAATCCACCTGACCTCAATTTGAAAACATACACTAGAAGATTTTTTTTTAATGTTTCTCTGATTCTGTTTGAAGCCAAATTTGTGATTGACAGCACCAAGTTTTCCGCCTGAAAATTAGGAAATCTTGTGTAGCCACTTCCCAACACTGGTTGTATGTTTGATGGTTGGTGAAATACTTACACATAGTCATCACTTCCTGCTGCAAGGATTTTGTCAAAATCGATGTAGTCCTCGTCCTCAAAGCCGTCCAAAACCAGGTCATTAGTGACGGTGTTGTCTCTGTGGAACTCGAGTGGAATGTCCCCCAGGTTCTGCGGACCTGCTCCGTCTGAGCCTCTGGGGTTTTGGTTTGTAAAGTGAGACGTGAGATCTTTGATCCCAGCGAGAGACGAGCTGACCAGGCAGGCCGCACACAGCAGCACTAACAGCACCATCCCGAAGCTTTATCAGAACAACACAGTCTTAACACTTCTCTGTAAACATCTGATAATGACCTAAATGTGAGGGAAATAAGTGGTTGCTTTTTCTTACCTTTGTTTGCGCTGGTGGTGAGTGCGCAGTCGCTTGTTTGTGAAGAAAGCACCCAATTGAATAGAAAATTGAACTTTGATGTGGGCTCCTGACTGAGCAAACAGCATAGATCAAACAGAGCAAAAAGTCCTTTGACAAACTAAAAACTTCCACCTCAAACTCTCTAGAAATCAACATATTTTCAATAATTGACATTATAACTATTTTGTAGAAATATCATGTTTTTTGGTGTTAGTTGTGATATTGAAAACACTGGTTCATACATAGTTTTAGTTTGTAGGTGAGATTCTTGATAACTGTTATGATATTTAGGAACATCTCTCCTTTGTTTACATTTTACAGTTGACTCGAAGACTTCCACCAATCAAAGAGGCTAAGCCCCGCCTCCAGAAGCTGTTTCGGGACTTTTGGTTGTACTCTGTGGTCATGGGCTTTGCTGAGGAGGGCTCAGGTGACTAAAGCTAGGACTAGCATGGTTGTAAACATGACTATGGTAATGGGTAATCTATGTAGTATATACACTCACAGATGTTTAACTGATGGTTCTCCCCAGGCCTGTGGCCAGAGGAGTGGTATGAAGGAGTGTGTGAGATTGCAACCAAGTCTCCTCTTCTGACGTTTCCCAGCGGAGAGCCTCTGCGCTCCGAGCTGCAGTACAACTCTGCTCTGAAGAACGACACCGTGACAGCGGTACATTATCCACATGAACCAGAGACTGTTTTACTGTATTTTACCTAAAGAGAAAAACCCTGTTTCAGGCCAAGCTCAGCGAGCTGCGAGCGACTATCAGTAACTTACTGGATCCATCCCCAGAAGGTTCTGCGTATATTAATAAACTTGACTTTGCGATGTCCACATACTTGATGTCAGTTTACCGACTGGAGTACATGAGGTCAGCCTTTATCCTTCTACTTCTTTTATCCTGGAGTTTAGTGGAATAGATTTACATCGGCCTCTTGTTCCCATTCAGGATGTTGCGCTCTAATGAACCGGACCGATTCCAAGTCATGTTCCGATACTTTGAAGACAAAGCCATTCAGAAAGATAAATCTGGTGAGAGCTGCTCAGAGGATTGATAATGATTCTAATGATTTACTGTTTGACTCATGTTGTCCTTTCCTTTCAGGCATGCTGCAGTGCATCATATGTGTGGGTGATAAAGTGTTTAACGTGTTCCTCCAAATCATGTCTGAGAAGGTATCTGTCTCTTTGAACACTCTGTTTTGAACAAAGCACAGTTAAAACAGTGATATTTGTTTTAAGGATAAAACCAAAGAACACGAGGAGGAGCTGGAGAGGCACGCTCAGTTCCTGCTCGTCAACTTCAATCACACTCACAAAAGGATTCGAAGAGTAGCAGACAAGTACCTCTCTGGTCTGGCCGAAACGTAAATTATTCCATATTTAATTCATATCAAGTCTATTCTTTGTTTGTTCCTTTTGAATGAGTCTCCTCTGTTTCTCAGATTCCCGCACCTGCTTTGGAGCGGCCGAGTGCTGAAGACTATGTTGGACATTTTGCAGACGCTGTCACTTTCTCTTAGTGCTGTAAGAAAACACAACACACACAGCTTTCCACTTATGTCTAGAAAATGAAGACATAATTCATAATGGTTGCATTGTTGCTGTGACCAGGACATCCACAAGGACCAGCCGTACTATGACATTCCGGACACGCCCTACCGCATCACTGTCCCGGACACGTATGAAGCGCGAGAGGTGAACTTTTTGATTCCCATAATACCATTCGCCACTAGAGGGCAGCAGTGTAACATAACATTATCCTGTACATGTGTTCAGCAGGAGCTTGTTGCAATAGTCTTGACTTAAACAATACTATATCAAAGCCCATATGATCCATTTCACTAAAACATAGTTCAGGAGGAATAATTTAAGATTTGACATTTTAACTTCGGGGCAGAAAATGTTGGGAAAGTGTATAATGTTATATATTAATACAAGGCAAGGCAAGTTTATCTAGCATAGTTCACACACGAGGCAAGTGTTTAACAAAATTACAGTACATTAAAAAGGGGGATAAAAAAATCCAAAATACACAGCTAAAAAGAACTGTTTTTAACCTGGATTTAAATATTGTCAGAGAAGAAGCCTGTCTCACATTTTCAGGAAGACCGTTCCAGATTTTAGCTGCATAAATCTGAAACGCTGCCTCCCCATTTTTAATCTTGACTCTGCGACCAGCAGGAGACCAGTCCCTGTACTCCTCAGAGTCCCAACAGGACGCCAGTCCCTGTGCTCCTCAGAGTCCCAACAGGAGGCCAGTCCCTGTGCTCCTCAGAGTCCCTGTGCTCCTCAGAGTCCCAGCAGGAGACCAGTCCCTGTGCTCCTCAGCTTCATTCCCTGTGAAATAACTGACACGTTGTTGTCAAAAAGCACAAAGAAAAGTAAAGTTAAATAATGCATCTTTAATATCTTTTTACTTCCAGAGCATCGTGAAAGATTTCGCTGCTCGTTGTGGTGAGATTCTGAAAGAGGCAATGAAATGGGCCCCTTCCGTTACCAAGTCCCACCTGCAGGTCAGAACCAGGATCAGAACCATGATTAGAACCAGGATCCAGACCATGTGCTTGAGGGTGTTTGAGTGACAGGTCCTTTTGCACAGGAGTACCTGAACAAGCACCAGATGTGGGTGTCAGGGCTGTCGCAGCACACCGGCCTGGCCATGGCCACCGAGAGCATCCTGCACTTCGCTGGTTACAACAGACGCAGCACCACTCTTGGTGTGAGTATGGTTAGCACTCATACTCACAGGAGCTCAGTTATAATCCATGGAATTCTGAGACAATCTTAAGAACATGGAGATAGTTTTCCACCAGTTTTTTTATTAAAAATGAGTCAATTATAAACAAGATGGCGCCATGTATGGCTGCCACGGCTTTTCGGTCTGATTTGTTTTTCTCTTTTTTCATAGGATCTTTGTTGAATTCAGTGGAATTCTGAAAAAAAAAAATCTAAAGAAAATTGAGATTGTTTTCCAGATTTTTATTAAAAGTAAAGTAAAGTAAATTCTAAACAAGATGGCGGTTTTAAACAAGATGCCGGCATATATGCTTGCTACGACTCTTCTATTTTTACTTTTATACGTTGTTTGCACCGAGAGCCAAAGCAATTTCCTAGTTTGTGACTTCCTGTTACTCACAATGACAAATTAAACATAATATGTTTTTTTTTTTAACCTTTACTCACTTTTCATACATGCTAAAACTGGTGAAGACAACTTTAAAAACATAGGAAAAACATTTGGAGAAAGGCAACCAAATGCTAACAGCTGCATGTAACAGTGTGTTGCTATGGTAACTAGCATTTGCTCTGCTCTGATGGGAAACCAAGCTCACCTCAGAACCAGCTCAGAACCAGAACCAGACCAGGACCAGCACCAGGAGAAAAATAGTGGGATGGCCAGAGATGCCACACCAGCCCCTCACTGATCCTCCTGCAGGTGGTGAGTCCACAGGGTGATAGCAGCTCTATGGCATAGCCTTGATCTTTGAGCGGGGGCTTCAGGCAAAGTGGGGTTAAGTGTCTTGCCCAAGGACACAACAGCAGTAGACATCATTTTAGCGCCAATTATCTAAATCTCCACATGATGACGACCCCCATATGACCTCTGAAGGTGTTTGTAGTTGATCATGATTAAATACATTAAACATATGATCAAAATGGCTTCTTTAAATCAAATTCACATTCATAAATATCTAATCCTTGAAGTACAAGTATACATGAAAAACACAGCTCATCCCTAACACATAGTAGTTTTCCAGAGCTCTCTCCTCCGCTGTTTTGGTTCTCTCTCTCTCTCTCTCTCTCTCTCTCTCTAACTCTAACTCTAACTCTAACTCTAACTCTTTCTGTTTGTGTTCCGGGCCTCACTCTGCCGTCTTTTTGTGGTTTGGCTTCATTTGTGTTTCTCTTGCTCTGCGTGGAACTTGCCGCTGGTTCCTCTCTCGCGCCGTGGTCCATAGGCCGCTTTTCCACAGGTTGGTCCATATTCAGTTCATGCATCGACAACACTGCAAAAAGTCGTGGGGAATGAGTCAAAAAAAATGTTAACATTTGGCTAAATGTGTCATGATTTGAGCAGATTCCGACGGCCTTAACCCTTCGACATTCACTCCTTGAAGAAAGCAATGTCATTGTTTTTTCTTTTTTTGATTTTCTAAAATGTAGGACACTGATTACATTTGTACGTAATTTAAAAAAAAAGTCAACCCATATTTTTGTTTTGTTATTATGGGCCTTTACCAAATGGTTGAGATGCTGTTTCATGGTAAAAGTGCCTAAAACCAGGTGAGCTGGAACTGAAATCTAAATCTTTTTTGGCAGACAAAGAGTTAGATTTCATTTCCAAGCTTCAAGGTGCTTCAAGGTGATTTACCAAATGGTGGAGGAAAAAGGGTTGAAACAAAATTTGCCAATGGGACAAAGCAAAATGATCTTGTTTTAAAAATATACAAGAAATGTCTCTCTTGGAATGAGAAAATAAAGCATCAGTTCTTAAAAAAAGAATAAATGGCTTTGTCCCATTGGTAAATCTTGTTTTAGCACAGTCTGAATGTGCTCAAATTAAGATAAAATCGTATCAATTCAAGCATTTATTAATTCATATTTGATCATTTTTTGCAGTGCACTGATTGTTGTGGAATTCTGAGGCCTTTAGTGTAGAGTGTATTTACAGAGACAGACTTTTCGGCAACTTTGACGTCAATGAAGGAATTTAAGTGTGGATTTACAGGCTGTGTGCGTGTGTGTGTATGTGTGTGCGTGTGTGTGTGTGTCTCTGAATGTGTGTATGTGTGCACTTGTTTTCAACTCCTGGTGGGTTCCATAACCTGAGATTCCACTCACGTCATGGGGACTGGTTTTACGTGGTGGGGCCCGAACACCGGACCCCACTGGTCCAAGCTTAATAATCAATGGGTAATGCTTTTCTAACGGTCCTTATGCAGTCTCTGTAAAAATATGGAAAGGACCCCTGGAGGTTTACTTTCCTGAAAAAAGTGTGTTATGTGTCGGAACCCTGGTGGTGGGTTGCGGGATATCAAGGAGGGGCACACTGGGGCAATTTCAGTCCAGCAGGCTGGAGCCAATCATGGAGCAGCACAACAGAGGAATACAGGTGTCAGGCTAGAAAAAGGTGCAAGTGTGTGGTTCATTAGGCTGCAAGAAATCATGGAGGAGCACACTGAAGCGCACGCTTACAAACCACTGGTAAGTGCTGACTACAAGTCATGACTTCAAATTGTTATATAGAATGATTACAAATTATTTGTTGTTTGTGCAGCTTAGTCAAGAGTCCCTAATTGATGAAGTCGACTCAGATTCTGACGATTTAACTGTCAAGAAGAAACCTGTAAAAAAGTATGGAAAAAGAAAAATCAAAAACACTTTTCTTCAAGACTCGGAAAGTGACGAACCAAAGGCAAATAAGATTGTTATCATGCAGCTGCAAAAGAAGAAAAATGGGGGGCGAGTTTACAGCAAGAGACACTTCTGCCTCTACCGTTCAATGTCCTGCCACAAAATGTCCCGTCATTTGACTAGAAAACATGGAAATGAAAGTGACGTAGCCAGAGCATTGGCTCTACCTGTGAAATCTAAAGCACGTAAACTTCAGTTTGATTTGATCAGGAATAGTGGAAACCGTGAGCACAATTTTGAGGTTTTAAAGGCCGGCATTGGAACTTTAGTCCCAGCTAAACAGCCAAATTGCCCAGTTAAATCCAGTGAGTTTTTGCACTGTATAGACTGTGGGGCATTGCTTAAGCGAAAGTCGCTGTGGAGGCATGTGGCCAGGTGCCGGCTTTCACAGAAAGATGCCCAGGCTAAACCAGGCTAAACCAGGTAGAAGTAGGGTCCAGTCCCTCTGCTCCCTAGCCCAGCCTGTACCGGAGGGCATCAGCAAAAAGCTGTGGTCTTTAATTTCGGCAATGCATCAGGATGAGGTCACGGGTGTTGTCAAAGCCGAAAAGGGGATTCTGAGACTCGGAGAGCACCTGTACTTAAAACACGGGCATGATAAGACTAAGCATGATTACATTAGGCAGAAAATGAGAGAAGTCGGTAGGTTAATTAACCCTTGTATTATGTTAAGGGTCAATTTGACCCATTTCAGTTTTTGTGTTGATCAAAGTACTGGTTATCCTTTATTTTTCTTGCTGAAATTTGGTGACTTTTCCTCATCTAGGGTCATGAACTGGTGTGTAAAATCTGGACACTTTGATGTGTAGTGGAATGTCTGTGCAGAGTTTGTATACAAAGATGATGTTGCGGGTCATTTTGACCCAGACGCTTTAATGTGGGTAAATAGTTCCAAAAAAACATGTCTCTTTGACATTGTATTTTGATTGCCTCCGAGACCCAGAGCCAGGTGTGTGAAGAGAGGGAACTTTCTCACACTTGTCCTTGTCACTGTTCTCATGTCATCTCTTTTGCCTAGCGTACATTGGACTGGCAACTGATTATATCCGTTGCCTTTGAGTTGCTGCCCCGCACACATCGACAATGTGGCGAAAACGGGCAACTCTTAGTAGCAGGCCAGTCTCGGGAATAACAGCGTGTACATCGACAGCAACTGGCGTCAACTACAGTGTGTTTTCTGGCATAAACTGTAGAGGCCGCGCAATACACACATGTGGTTGGAGCGCGCACATCGGGTGATATCTCCGGATCTGAGTGAAACTAGTTGCCGAAAAGTAGAACACGGGCAACTGACTGAATCCGGAGATCGACTGTTTATCTCCAGTTGTAAGAGCGCTCACATCGACCGATTTCGGCAACTGATCATCTCCATCATCTACTCTCAGTCGCCAAAAGCCGCCTTGAAACTAGTTGTCTCCAGTTATTCTGTCGATGTGCACTAGGCTTTAGACAAACTCACCAAAAATGAGCTCCAGAAGGATAACATCTGAGGAGGCTTTATCACAGATTTTTAACTGGGATAATGATGTAGAGGAAGAGATTTCAAAAACAGAGGATTTTTCAGAGACAGAGGACAATGTTATTGCTGATCCAGATTGTCAATTTTCCTACGATAAGGAGGATTCAGAGGACGAATCTTTGGTCAAAGAAGAGGAAGGGAGGAAGAAAGGAAGGTAGGAAGGAAAGAAGGGAGACAGGAAGGAAGGAAGAGAAAATAAGGGAATATAGAAGGATGAACAGAGAGAAGGAAAACAGGATGAGAAAAAGGAAGGAGAAAGCATGGCAGGAGGAAAGAAGGAGGGAAGAATTGTCATTTTGACCCGAGAGGAAGACAAGAAGATTAGACTAAATAATTCTTAAATATAGTGTTGGAATTAAAAATGTGTTGTATGTCACTTTTCTAAATATTTATATAACCTAAAATAAAGTTGTTATTGGTTTAACCTGTTTTCTTGACTGTTTTGAGTGCATTTACACAGTACGGGTCAAAATGACCCGCAACATAATCAATGTCATTTTTTTCCAACATAATACAAGGGTTAACGAAGCAAAAACTGCAGGGAAACTGAAAACAATTAAGGATTTCTTTATTCCTTCCAACTTTAACCATGTGATTGATGCAGTCAGGTCTGTGGCTGGATATGATGAGGAAACAAATCAATACAAGACTCCATCCTTGGCCCTCAAACTCGGCCATAGCCTCAGAAAGCTAGCAGATATTCTTGAATGTGACTCAAAAATGGAGCATTGTGTTGATGAACTATTTATTAAAAACCTCCAACGAAGCCGGCTGCTTTTTGAGAAGAGGTGGGACGTCTGTGTTTCTTCTGCTGCCCTACAGACCCTCCGGCAAGCCAAGTGGAACACTCCGGACCTGCTCCCTCTGACTGAGGACGTTAGAGCCATGCATGCACATATTGAGGTATGTCGACCTGAATATGTGCAAACCCTAATACAGGGGTGGCCAACCAGTCAGAGACTAAGAGCCAATTTTTTTTACTGTGTTACAGCAAAGAGCCACATCATACAAATGTGCACTACATAAACATCACCCCAACCCTTACACACGCACGCACACGAGCAGACACGCGCACACACATGCAATCTGTCTGAGCAGAGAGAGGTGTGCTCTGCTCAGACAGATTTATTGTAAATGTCATCAACATGATAATGACAGAAATTGACTCGTACAGTACTAAAGGGCTGGACTCGACTCTCCCTGGTTTGCGGGCGCTTCCACCGCTCGCTTCAAACGCTCCCCGGTACTTTTTATTAATGGTTTGGCCCTGGTTCTAACCGGGCGAGTCGATACCAGAACAATTTCACGTCAGCGAACATCAATTATGATTCCGAAATGAATGCTTGCAATCTCTAACCAAGAAAAAAAAATCAAGTTTCAACCCAGTGTTCAGCAGAAACACAACTGTCTTTAGTAAAAGATATAGATTTGACACATAACACCAACACCACTTTAGCTGATTTAGAACCACAGACACATGCTCAGTATAAGACCAGATACTTTTGCATTTGATTGAAGACAGACACTCACCAGGCAGAGTTGGCTTATCTCCTGGTGTAACGCTAGCTGGTGTTAGCTGGTTTTAGCATGTTAGCCGGTGTTAGCCGGTGTTAGCGATGTCCGTAAATGTAATCCATTTGGTCAAACCACCTCCAGACTTTTCGGGTCTGCCTCTACTTCTGCTGCTGCGATCTTTCATTTCACGGTTGTCACTTTTAAGCTTTTTAACTTTTCTCTGCATTGTCATGTTTGTGGGAATCATTCTGCTCCGTCCTTAGTGCTAGCTCCACAAACACCTTCTGGTTTCTGGTGGAACCAGCGAGATCAGGCTGGTGTCCTCTCCTCAAACTGAGGAAGGTGTTGCCCTCATCCAGCGACCAAGGAATTCTTTTCCGTACGGACGTCATGGTTCGAGGCAACGTGTTGTTTGTTATGATATTTGCTACAGCTGAGGTAGCAGCTGCAGAGTGATTGACAATGCATCTGACCAACCAGAATTGACGTTCGCCGACGTCAGATTGTTTTGGCGGCCCGTCTAGTGGAGTGAAGTCGGCCTTTACTATTGGTCAGAACTACATATGGAATGAAAGGCAGCGCCACCACCGAGGCGTTTTTGACGCTTGTCGAGTGAAAGCCCGAGAGCCGCACGGAACCAGCCAAAGAGCCGCATGCGGCTCACGAGCCGCGGGTTGGCCACCCCTGCCCTAATAAGTGAGCCAACGTCTAAGCATTGGTCTAAACTGGCAGTTTTGACTCTTTGTGAGGTCATCATTTTCAATCGAAGAAGGGAAGGTGAGGTTTCAAAGATGCCACTGACAGCCTTTACCTTAAGAAGTAAGACTGGGATCCATTCTGACATTGCTCTGGGACTGTCCCAACTTGAGAAAAAGCTGTGTCAGCATTTTCAACGCATTGAAATTAAAGGGAAAAGAAGTCGGAAAGTGCCGGTTCTTTTGACTCCTGAAATGATTGCTTCGATGGAGGTGCTGGTGGAGAACAGAAGGGCCTGTTCCATCTCTGACCATAACCCATACTTCTTCTCCCGCCCGGGCGCAGACGCCCACATCAGGGGATCAGACTCCCTACGCCAGGTAGCCAAAGAATGTCGTGCGGTGCATCCAGAGATGCTATCCTCAACCAAACTTAGAAAGCACATAGCTACTATGTCTACAGTTCTCAATATGAAAGAGAATGAGATGGACATACTAGCCAACTTCCTCGGCCATGACATTCGCATCCACAGGCAATATTACAGACTACCAGAGGGGACACTGGAGCTGGCCAAAATCAGCAAAGTGTTGATGGCCATGGAGCAGGGAAGAGTGACGGAATTCAAAGGAAAGAGCCTCGACCAGATACAAATTGAGCCTGAAGGTAATTCTTGATATTATTAAAATATGTATGATTTTTTTCCCCTAAAGGCCACTTGTATTTTTATTTTCTGTGCGACAGGGAGAGCAGTAGAGATCCTCTCACAAACGGACGGGCTAAAAGAAACTTCAAGCGGAGAACCTTCAACCATTCATCCAGATGCACCCCATGGTAGTGGCAGTGCCCCTTCTGGTAAGTGTACCAGGTGGGGGATTACAGCCAGGCTGCTTGGTCCTAACCCTGGGAGTGTATATTGCTAATATATTTTTATTTCTCTCCCTAGAACGTGTAAGAAAGCCATGGTCTGCATCTGAGGTGAAGGCTGTGGAGAAGACCATGACACCTTTCATACAGACTGGAAAAGTCCCTGGGAAGTCTCACTGCCTGGCCTGCATTAATGCCTCACCAGATGACCTTAGACATCGGACATGGAGTGGCATTAAATTCTATGTCAAAAATAGAATCACTGCAATTCGAAAAAAAAATCTAAAATAAAATTCCTTTAAAATAGTTGTTTGGTTTCTATTGACTGTTTTGTATTACTTAAAGTAGTCCCAGTAAAAAAAGATTATGTCTATGGGTCCCATTCTGAACGGCCCTGTCAAAGGGACCCACCAGGTAACAAAAACGTGTATGTGTGTGCGTGTGTGTGTGTCTCTGAATGTGTGTGTGTGTCTGAATATGTCTGGATGTGTGTGTGTGTCTCTAAATGTGTGTGTGTGTGTGTGTGTGTCTCTCTGAATGTGTGTGTGTGTCTCTGAATGTGTGTGTGTCTGAATGTGTGTGCGTGTGTGTGTGTGTCTCTCTGAATGTGTGTGTGTGTGTGTCTGAATGTCTGTGTGTGTGTCTGAATGTTTGTGAGTGTGTGTCTCTGAATATGTGTGTGTGTGTGTGTGTATGTCTCTGAATATGTGTGTGTGTGTGTGTCTGAGTGTGTCTCAGAATGTGTGTGTGTCTCTGAATGTGTGTGTGTGTGTGTGTGTGTGTCTGAATGTGTCTCTGAATGTGTGTGTGTCTCTGAGTGTGTCTCTGAATGTGTGTGTGTGTGTGTATGTCTCTGAATATGTGTGTGTGTGTGTCTGAGTGTGTCTCTGAATGTGTGTGTGTCTCTGAATGTGTGTGTGTGTGTGTCTGAATGTGTGTGTGTGTGTGTCTGAATGTGTGTGTGTGTGTGTGTCTGAGTGTGTCTCTGAATGGGTGTGTGTCTGAGTGTGTGTCTGAATGTGTGTGTGTGTGTCTGAATGTGTCTAAACCGGTCCTGTATCTTTCACCTGCAGAGCACACAGCTCACAGAGAGACCGGCCTGTGTGAAGAAGGACTACTCCAACTTCATGGCCTCTCTCAACCTCCGCAACCGCTACACGGGAGAGGTATGCAGTCTCCGAGAACAGAGCCGGAACGTGCTGGTTCTGTGTTGGTAAAACGGCGTCTCTCTCGGGTTCCGCAGGTGGCCGGGATGATGCAGTTTGCCGAGGCCATGTGCAGTCACTCAGATCTAAACAAACTCATGGTCCACCAGATGACCTCGGCTCTGGACGCCAACGACCCCGAGACGTTCACACAGGCCATGTTCAAAATGGCCGCCCTCCTCATAACGTCTAAAAGTGAGTCCAGGCAACGCCACACACCGGGAAATGATCAAATATGAGGTGATAAATGCGTTTTTTAAATTGTGATTTGACTTCATTCTGACTGTGTTAAAACCAGATTCTCCAACGGGACAAAACTATTTGTTTTTTTTCAAGATCTGTTGCTTTTTTTTCTCATTCCCAGCGAGACATTTCTTGTATCTTTTAAAATAAAATTGCATTGTCCCGTAGTTATATCTTGTTTTACGGCACAGTAAGAATGTGCTCTAATTAAGATACACAATTAAGCCATTTCTCACTTTTATTTCATCAATTTTTGCAGTGAATACTACACTGAAAAAAGTAAAATCTTGGTTTTATATATTTACTAAAAAAACGTAAATCATGCTTGTTTTTTTAATTGATTTTTTTGGCTCGAATTTAGTTTGTCATATAAGATTGTTTTACTAGTTTTTAGAAAATATTTCATGATCTCATTAAAGATAAAAGTCTGAGCAGTGAGTTTTTAAGCAGAGTTTTTAAGCATTTTTTTTCTATTTCCAGACAATTCTTCTGGTTATGCTCTATTTTAAGGAAGCATGTCTCAAAAATGTTTAAGAAAAAAGTAAATTATACTTTAAATGTATGTTTTTAAACTAGAATCAAGTCTAGTATGATTTTCTTATTTTCAGAAATCTTGTCAAGTCATATTTTCTTGTTCTATTGACGGATATTTTTTATAATTATAAGCAGTTTTTTAGTTTTATATATTTTTTTCTCACTTTTTTCAGGGGATTTTTTTACAGTCTATATAGTATTAATCTTAAGAAATGTTATGTAGATTTGTCTAGACTTTTTATACATGCCTTATTCTATTTTGACTTTGCGTCGAGAGCCAAAGCCATCTCCAAGTTCGTGGCTTTCTGTTTCTCACAACAGCAACAAAAAAGATTCTGATTCGGATATTTTTTGTGTGTTTGTTTCTCTTACTTCTTCTTTGTTCTGGATCGTAGAGTGTGACCCGCTGCTGCTGCACCATCTCTGCTGGTCTCCTTTGAGAATGTTCACGGAGCACGGGATGGAGACCGCTATTGCATGCTGGGAGTGGCTCATCGCGGCTCACAATGGAACCGAAGTCCCAGTATGTTTTAAATATGTTGTTTTTTAAATTCAACTAGAGACAGGTCAGCGATAGTGTCTGGCCTTTTCCCGAAAGAAGTGTTTTGAGCTAACTGTACCGCCATCTTAGAAACCGAAAAAACCAAGGCAAGGGAAGTTTATATGTATAGCACAATTCATACATAAGGCAACTCAAAGGGCTGAAAAAAAACAAGATGGAGACAATAACATGGAGGCATTAAAATCATGAATAAAAAAAAAAGTTAAAAATAATGAAGATACAATCCTTCAGTTGTATGCACAGCTAAACCGAACTGTTTTTAACCTGGATTTAAACATTGTCCTGTGAAGAAGCCTGTCTCACGTTTTCAGGAAGATTGTTCAATCAATCAATAACATTTTATTCATAAGGCACTTTTCATACAAGAAATTCAACAGATTCTAGATTCTAGATGCATGAAGCGGAAACGCTGCTTTCCCATGTTTAGTCCTGACTCTGGGACCAGCAGGAGGCCAGTCCCTGTGCTCCTTAGAGTCCCAGCAGGAGGCCAGTCCCTGTGCTCCTTAGAGTCACCAGCAGGAGGCCAGTAAGTAAGTAAGTAAGTAAGTTATTATTTATATACCGCCTTTTCACTGCAGATCTGAGTCTCAAAGCGGTTTACAATTGTTAATTTTGGGCATTTGTCTCTCACTCCACACAGAGATGGGAGCGGGGCCAGTACAGGAGGCACATGCCAGAACTATTGGACATATTTTTAGTGGTAGGGGAAACCGGAGTACCCGGAGGAAACCTACGCAGACACGGGGAGAACATGCAAACTCCACTCAGAAAGGCCCTGGTCCGGCCGGGATTCGAACCCAGGACCTTCTTGCTGAGAGGCGAGAGTGCTATCCACTCAGCCACCGTGCCGCCTCAGTCCCTGTGCTCCTCAGAGTCACCAGCAGGAGGCCAGTCCCTGTGCTCCTCAGAGTCCCAGCAGGAGGCCAGTCCCTGTGCTCCTTAGAGTCCCAGCAGGAGGCCAGTCCCTGTGCTCCTTAGAGTCACCAGCAGGAGGCCAGTCCCTGTGCTCCTCAGAGTCACCAGCAGGAGGCCAGTCCCTGTGCTCCTCAGAGTCACCAGCAGGAGGCCAGTCCCTGTGCTCCTCAGAGTCACCAGCAGGAGGCCAGTCCCTGTGCTCCTCAGAGTCACCAGCAGGTGGCCAGTCCCTGTGCTCCTCAGAGTCACCAGCAGGAGGCCAGTCCCTGTGCTCCTCAGAGTCACCAGCAAGAGGCCAGTCCCTGTGCTCCTCAGAGTCGGACTATTGTGATGGTACTTCCTGGTTCTAGCCAATCAGAAGAAAGGCTGTTGACTCCCACTTGTTTAGAGCTCTTCTTTCTTTGGTCCCACTGTTGTAAGAGTCATCTGTGTTTCCTTTTAAAATGAGAGTGAATGGAAAGTACAGATGCAAAGCACATTTCATCCATGGTCACTTCCCTTTAGCCTTCAGTTAGCTAGCAGGTTAGCTAGCAGGTTAGCTCTGTCCATTCCTTGCATACTCTCTACACTGTAAACCCTGACAAGTAAAGTTTACTTGAAAAAACCATGGAAATAAATTGCCTATTAACTTCACTTGAATTCCTCGAGTACATCCTTTACTTGATATTACCAAGTAACTCAAGTGATTGCAATAAAGATTAAATTTCTACTTATGATCCGACCGGGAATCGTACTCAGAACCCTGTAGTTGAGAGGCTACCCACTCAGCCACCAGGCCACCCTGCCATTGACACACCTGCCTCATTAAAGACTCTACACGTCAAAATGTCAAAAGTGAGGCTTACTTGAACAGAAACAGTTCAATTCAAAGAAAACCCTGAGTGACATAGGCAAGCTTTAAATAAACTAACAATAAATGAGTAATATCTACTTACTGGAAAAAATCTATTTAAAATAACTTTGATATCTAAAGTACGATTGAAGTTAGGGTTTACAGTGTATAACCACAGCCTTCGATAATGATCTGATGCCGTGACAATAGTTGGTTTTGAATCATTGAAGCTGTTTGCCTCCTGTTCAGTTCATGCGGGAGATGGCGGGAGCTTGGCAGATGAGCGTGGAAAAGAAAATGGGTTTGTTTTCTGAGGCCAAGGCTGAAGCAGGTCCTCTGGCGGTGTCCGAGGAGAGTCGACCAGCTCCCTGTGCTCCTGATGTCGTCCCTCACTTCCTCTGGATTGAGGTGGGTCACTCTCCCCCACAGACGGCACCATGTTTTTGTTTATAATGTACATACAAAGTTAGCATTGACTTTGTGAAGCTGACTTTTTGTTTTAACCACATACTATAGTCACCCAATACTATTCAATTCAATGTATTTTTAGCCCTAAATCACAACAGTAGTTATCTCGGAGGACTTTCTGAGTGGAGTTTGCATGTTCTCCCCTTGTCTGCGTAGGTTTCCTCCAGGTGCCGCACCACTAAAACATGACCAATGGGTATGAATGTAATGAGTGAGTGAATGGATGGTGTTTGGTCGGAGGCTTTGATGGACCAGTGTGTTCGGCGACTCGCTCCCGTGTATGGAAAGAATGGAAACAAAATCTTCTGAGAGGCCCATATTGACGGGAGGGATCCACTCCCACGGACAGACAGGCTGTGGAACCAGGACTGAGGCTGTAGACCCAGGACTGAGGCTGTAGATCCAGGACTGAGGCTGTGGATCCAGAACTGAGGCTGTGGATCCAGGACTGAGGCTGTAGATCCAGGACTGAGGCTGTAGATCCAGGACTGAGTCTGTAGGTCCAGGACTGAGGCTGTAGATCCAGGACTGAGACTGTGGATCCAGGACTGAGACTGTGGATCCAGGACTGAGGCTGTAGATCCAGGACTGAGTCTGTAGATCCAGGACTGAGGCTGTAGATTCAGGACTCAGTCTGTAGATCCAGGACTGAGGCTGTAGATCCAGGACTGAGTCTGTGGATCCAGGACTGAGGCTGTAGATCCAGGACTGAGGCTGTAGATCCAGGACTGAATCTGTAGATCCAGGACTGAGGCTGTAGACCCAGGACTGAGGCTGTAGATCCAGGACTGAATCTGTAGACCCAGGACTGAGGCTGTAGACCCAGTACTGAGGCTGTAGACCCAGGACTGAGGCTTAGACCCAGGACTGAGGCTGTAGACCTAGCACACGTGATTCAGGCTGTAAAGCTGGGGTGGCCTTTTTCCCCCACAAATGACAAATGTTTTTTGTCTGAATCTAAAATCTGAACAACCCAACGTTAAAATTACGTCTTACTTTCACAGTTTTTAGTGCAGAGATTTGAAATCGCAAAGTACTGCAGCTCGGACCAAGTGGAGATTTTCATTTCAATTCTACAAAGATCTCTGTCTGTGAGCGTCGGGGGAGCCAAGAGCAGCCTGAACCGACATGTGGCCGCTATAGGCCCCAGATTCAGGTAAATAACTGCAACAAATGATAAAGTACGAGGTCATAAATTCTTAAATCAGGTGTTTTTATCTTAATCTGAGTTCAGTGTGACTGTGTTAAACAAGATTCTCCAATGAGACAAAGCCATTTAGTCCTTTTTCCAGAACTGCTGCTTTATTTTCTCATTCCAAGGGAGACACTTCTATATATTTTTAAACAAGATCATTTTGCGTTGTCTAATTAGTAAATCTTGTTTTAAGGCTCAGTCAGAATGTGCTCTAATGAAGATACATTTTGCCAAATTTGAGTGATTTTAACCTATTCCTCGTCACTTTTTGCAGTGTACTACTAAATACACACTATATTTGGGCATAAACATTGACTTTTGAACCTCTCTCCCGCAGACTGCTCACTCTGGGTCTGACGCTGCTGCATGCTGATGTCGTGACCAACGCCACCATCAGAAACGTCCTTCGAGAGAAAATCTATTCCACGGCTTATGACTACTTCAGGTTTTTCTCGATTTCTTGGTTTCTGAATTCTTTGACACTGTAGTTATTTAAAATCATATGTATTATATCAAGGTCGGGTTCATTTCCAAAACTACTGTGTCGAGATATGAGGAAACGACTCTAAAACTAGTCATAAGATATTTCATGAATCAGGAGAGCTTGACCATACACACATGTTGGTTTTGAAATTAATATTACTAAACCTGATAAAATGGCAAAAAGAGCAAATAATGTTCGAGTTCAGCAGAAAAAAGAAAAACACAGTCACTCAATTTCTTATACTTTATTTTTGAGTTTTTGCCTTTAAGATTTGATTGGTCTAAATATTGTAATTTAAAAAACAAGGCAACAATTATAATGCAAAGAAAAGCATTACATTAAAAACAATATCAACTATATAAATAACCATAAAAATATATATATACATACTTAAAGAAGATTGATTCATAATAATAACAATTAATTCATAATAAATTGTAAAGGTGGGACAAAATTTCTGCTGTCAACTATGGAATAATTGTGGAATATTTATGTTTTAGAGGAAAATATAAAGAATGGATTTTGATGAATTATGAAAACATGGAAATGAGTTTAAAAGCTAATTTGTTCTGTTTGTTATTGATTAATCTTGCTACAGAGTAAACAATAAATCAAATTAATGTATTGTGTATTATTATTATATTATCAATTATATATAATTATTATAATATTTGTATTATATTATTGTATATTATATGATTATGTATAAGGATCCTGCTTGGAAAACTAGTGAGATTTGATACTTTTGTTACTTCTTGTGTCAAAAAAAACGTCTTTCCGCTTCTTTTCAAACACATAAACTTGTATTTCTGTCCTAGTGAATATGTATTATCTGTCTTTTCAAGTTCTATTGTCATGTTTTGTGTTGCTCGTAGAAAGATCTCACAGTTGCGTGTTTTAAATACATCTGAAAATGCAATGAAATGAACAAAAAACACTGAAATTCTTTGATGTTTTTCTAGTGTGGACCCCAAGTTCCCCACTCAGACTGACAAAAGCCTGAGAGAAGACATCAGCATATTGATAAAGTTCTACGCCAGTCTCCAATCGGACAAAAAGTATCTGGCGGCTCATCTGCTGGTCCCTCCTGGTATTCACCGCAGCACAAACCAGAGCATTGATGTGTGTGATTGTGTGTGACGTTGTGGTATGTGTTCGCAGACCCTCAGGACATGGCCGTTAGCTTGTCGGTGATGGCAGTAGCCGACAGCCGCAACAGTCTGGACGTGGGGCAGAGGCAGCAGGCGGCTCAAGGCTGGATCAACACCTACCCCCTGTCGTCCGGGATGTCCACCATCTCCAAAAAATCAGGTGTGGGAATAAACGCAGCTTCAAAATGGACTTGAAGGAGCGGTATGTAGAAATCTGCCCAAAAGTGGTTGCCAGATATGCAGACGAATCCAGCTGGGAGCATTATATCTGAACAGACGAGAGTTTTGTCAACAACCAATATATAACCTTTTCCACAAAGAGAGAAATCCTGGTTTTGTTCCTTGTTTGTCTTTAATGACTTGAGAATCATAATGAGACCTTTTTTAGTTCTGCGCCACATGGTACTTTACCTGTGAGATTAGCTTTCGGATTTGTCAAAGGGTGGGGGGCGGGACATCGAAATAAAAACAATGACAAGATTTAGGGGCTGGAAAACTCTGAAATTCAAATATCTCTGAACTCCTGTTATCAGTTAAAGAAGTATTCAAAAAGGGCAGGTTTTGACAGATTAGGGCCATTTAATGAGGACTTGACATGAAAATCTTACATATTGCTGCTTTAAAATGTTATGTATGTGTTTGTTTGTAGGTTTATCCAAGAAAAGTAACAGGGGCTCCCAGCTGCACAAGTATTACATGAAGCGGAGAACTTTGCTCCTGGCGCTGCTGGTAAGGACAAGTTGTATTATAGTATTAGATTGTTTGGATAGATGTACTCTTTGAAATGTTTTTTAAAAGACACGACAGATCTCAAGTCATCCAGGGTTTTTGACTTTTCAGTATCCAGTCGCTACTTGCGCAAATCGCATAATGCTCTATCGCTTGGTCGCTCCCATAGAAGCTGTAATTGTAATGTTTAAAAGATGTGTCGAACCTGCAGTGGGAGAAGTGTGTGAGTCCTGATGAAAAGTCAAAGAAGGAAAGCAATGGCGAGTTTGAAACCTCAAGGATCAGGGCAACAGTTTAAACCACAGCTTGTTTTTGATGCAGGTAAACAATAGAATAGTACTCCATCTACTGGACGTTTGTTGAATTGCACCATTTAATCGTGACATGAGCAGCTTGAGAGCTTTTTCCCCGATCGACTTATCAAAATCAACAAATCCTGAAGCTAATATTAGGATCTTGTATGGCATTATTAGATCGTGTGGATTAGATTGATGGCATTTAGATAGATAGATACTTTATTGATCCCCGTAGGAGAAGTTCAGGTGTTCAGTAGCAGCAAAAATGAAAAATATTTTCATTCTAAAAAGCTAACAATAGTAATAATCAGCAACAGCCCGGAGCAACAACACGTGGAGCAGGACGGGTCACAGCAGCAGAGGTGGAGTAGCCTCTGGGTGGAGCAGGACAGGTCACAGCAGCAGAGGTGGAGTAGCCTCTGGGTGGAGCAGGACAGGTCACAGCAGCAGAGGTGGAGTAGCCTCTGGGTGGAGCAGGACAGGTCACAGCAGCAGAGGTGGAGTAGCCTCTGGGTGGAGCATTTTCTCTGCTCTAGTCCAAAGTATGCTAAATGCTCAATTGGATTTTTTCAAAAAGTTAGCATTCCTCCAGTGTATTTTCCCCCGATCCACTTGGTTCGGACCATGAATCCTCTCTGCTTCCCTCAACACGGTACTCAGGCAGAAAAAAGCAAGAAAAATCAAAATTGTGAAGCACAAAACAACAACTGTTTCAGAGCTAGTTAGGACTTGCTGTCGTTTTCCAGCACATTCAAAATATGACCCCCTCCATCTTACAATACATTTCGGAATCATGCAAGGAGCAAATGGGAGTGTTTGGACTACACTTGATCTGGCCCTTGACCTGTTTGCGCTGAGAAACTACCTGGGATTATCCTGGTTTCCTCCACATCGGACTCTTGTGGTTGTTTTCAGGCCAGTGAGATCGAGCGGCTGACCACATGGTACAACCCGCTGTCCACGCAGGAGCTGGCCATCACCACAGAACAGTCTGTGGAGACCAGCATCGCCAACTGGAGGACCAAGTACATCAGTCTGACGGAGAAACAGTGGAAGGACACGGTCAACCTGGCCTGGAGCATCTCGCCGTACCTCGCACTGCAGTTACCCGTCAGGTAGAGAGGCCAAAGTCACTCACGGTCATCTGAAACAAACACAGATATGGAGGTAATCCTAGAGAATGGACAGAAATGACTCGAGTTGCCTGGATTATCACAGACCAAACAGAATTGATCAATATTGGAAACTAAACTAAAATATGTCAAAATTATTAGAATCAATTGTGTTTGACTCAATGCAAAACAATCACTGCACTAGACGCTGAACAAAAAATCTGCCTTAATTACAGACAACATTAGACAATATTTATCTAAATTGCTTCACACTTTCTCCTATCACAACCCTGAATATCGACATGCCAAGTGTTGATTTTAACGTTTTAAAATGTACTTTCCGGTTTCCCAGGTTTAAAAACACTGAGGCCATCGTTCCAGAAGTGACGCGTCTGGTGCGGATGGATCCAGCTGCTGTGTGTGATGTTCCTGAAGCAGTTAAGGCAAGTCGCAATCAAAGCAGTGACGGCTCCCATTCACACCAATGGAATTCTGAATATACGTATCTCAAAAAAGGTTCAATTGTTTTACACCGGTTTTAATAAAATTACTTTGAATTTTAGTGCTAAAACTGATGAATATAAGATTGAAATACAGAAAAATCAATTTGGTGAAAGGCTGCTGAATGCTAATTGTGGCACGGTGGCTGAGTAGTTAGCACTCTCGCTTCTGAGCAAGAAGATCCTGGGTTCCAATCCCAATCGGAACAGGGCCTTTCTGAGTGGAGTTTGCCTGTTCTCCCCGTGTTTGCTCGGGGATAGGTTAGGTCTCCTTCGCGTTAGGTTTCCTCCAGGTGCTCCGTTTTCCCCTACCACTATAAACATGTTTATTATATAGGTCTGGCAAGCGCCTTCTGTTCTGGCGTGAGAGACAAATGCCCACAATTGTAAACCGCTTTGTGACTCTGGTCTGTGAAAGGAAGTATATAAATAAAGATTACCTACTTACTTCACTGCTGGTAAGTAAACAGTGTGTTGCTATGGTAACTAGCACCAGACAGAGCCACCATCTTGCAGACAGGGGGCTTTGAACGCCATAGACTAGAAATGGCTTGATTCATATATTCAAATGAATGGAGCAGTCCAAATTACTGTCATGGGAAAATAGAGGTAGAACTACTCGCTTTTCAAAAATAACAATTTCATAAAACTTTACAACATAGAAAGGATAGAAACAGAAACAGAAAAAAGGAGAGAATTGTTGGTCGTTTCTCTCTGTCCATTTTCACTTTTGATGTGTTTTTTCGTTGCAGTTTCTGGTGACATGGCACACGATCGATGCAGACTCTCCAGAGCTGAGCCACATCCTGTGCTGGGCTCCTGCTGATCCTCCCACAGGACTGTCCTACTTCTCCTCGCAGTACCCCCCTCACCCTCTCACCGCTCAGTACGGCGTCAAAGTTCTGCGATCTTTTCCTCCGGTAAACTACACCAGTCTTTCAAACTCTAAATATGTTTATGGTTTTACTTCCTGGTTGACTTTGTTTCCATTCTTTCAGGACGCCATATTGTTTTATATTCCTCAAATCGTCCAAGCACTTCGATATGACAAGGTAACTCTGTTTTTTTACATTCACTTTTCTGAAAGTTCCGTAAAAATCGAAAATTCGAAATTTCCCCACTGTGGGACAAATAAAGGAATTCTTTTCTTATCTTAAAAGGCCTATGACGATTGCGCTGTACTTGCATTAATTTTTTAAAATCTGTTTGTTTATTCATTTAAACATTATATGATGACTAAACATGACAAGATATACCTACACAAATACCTACAGATATACCACGGAAAAATAGAACATTTTGGAACCTGCTAGCTTGAAGTCAGGGATGTCTTTTTAGTGAGAGGGCCACTTTAGTTCCCCAGACTAGTCCAGGTGCCAATGTCACGGACTGAAAAACTGTCTCGACTGGCATCGGGCTGTTCGGAGATTTAAAGTGATCTATAGCAGAGCTGAAGTTGGCTGAATGACACATGTTTACCATCTCACCAGCTACATAAGCATTATCATTAGTACAGTATGTGCAAATAAACTCAACAACGTACTTGGCTTTAGAACAAGGTCTATATTGGCTGAGCTGAAGTTGGATGGATGACATAGTTGTGTATGCACCAAAATGCACGCCTCAGGATTGACCTGGATGAGCTGGAGGAAGTGTGTGTGGAGAGGGAAGTCTGGGCGTATTTGCTTAAACTGCTGCCCCCACAACCTGGCAACGGATAAAGCGGAAGAAAATGGACGCATTAACCAGATTCCATCCTCACAATTACATAACTTTTTACCAAATCACCAAAATTACATAGTGACCGAAATAAACTTCATTCATTCATTCATAACTTGGCCTTCACGGTGACAGTCACAGAATTACCCCAAACTCCGCCTCATCCAAAACCAGGAAGTGTTGTAAAATATATATAGAAAATTATCCATACAAGTTTGATAATGTTTTAATTCAAATCTGCAAACCTGCACAATCATCATCATCATCATCGCAAAAATCATCATAACAGACAGATACACAAGTGCACGGATTGAAAATGTTGGCAGTGGAAGCAGCTCCAATGCAGCGCACAGACCTGACTCTGTTTGCAGATGGGGTATGTGAGAGAATACATCCTGTGGGCCGCTCAGAAGTCCCAGCTCCTCGCTCACCAGTTCATATGGAACATGAAGACCAACATTTTCCTGGACGAGGAGGGAAATCAGAAAGACCGTAAGATAGTCAATCACTTCCTGTATTCCATTTCACTGAGATCCAGGACGTTTTTAGCTTGTTTTATTCATGTGCTTGTCTGGGGCACACTGGGGACTTCAATGTGTGTATTCCAATGTGGTTTTACTGCAAATGGCAAAAATACTGAACCTGAATCCGAATCTAAACCATGCACTGCAAAAAAATGATCAAATATGAGATAATAATTGCTTGAATTGAGTTGTTTTTATCTTAATTTAAGTTCTTTCTTACTGTCTTAAAACGAGATTTGCCAATGGGACAAGCAATTTTGACTTGACTCAAGAACTATACAACAACAATATATTTTTCTTGTTCCACTGGCAAATCTTGTTTTAAGGCAGTCAAAATGTGCTCAAATTTAGAAACATTCAGCAAAATTTGAGTATTTTTTGTCTTTAATTCCATCATTTTTTGCAGTGTGACGGTCTCGTATTGTTTGTGTTTCCCAGCGGACATCGGTGAGCTGTTGGAGCAGATGGTGGAGGAGATCATCGGCTCTCTGTCGGGCCCTGCCAAAGACTTCTACCAACGAGAATTTGACTTTTTCAACAAAATCATCAATGTCTCTGCCATTATCAAGTAAAGTACCACATGTTTACCTTTGTATTGTAGTGATTACAACAGTACGCCCAAAGTCAAACGCACCACACTGCAAAAAGTGATCAAAAATAAGTCAAAAATTGCTCAAATTTGGCTAGAATGTATCTCAATATAGTAACAGTTCTTGAAATAACACTAAATGGCTTTGTCCCGTTGGAGAATCTTGTTTAAAATAGTCAGAATAAACTCAAATCAAGATTACGAACGCTCGATTCACACATTTATGACCTTATTTTCTATTGTTTTTTTGCAGTGCTTGCTAAACTTACAAAGGCCTGGAGAGAGCACTCAGAAGTTTTCCATTAACTTGTTCATTCGGTGTTTATTTTTTTAAGTAGACTGTTGTATTTACATTGCCATGGTCTGATCCCCAAAGCTCCTCGTGTTGTTCATCTATTCGCGTAGTGTAATGTCTTGATGATTAGCTATCGGGCTGGAAGAGAACACGTGTTTGCTTTCTGCCTCCGTCAACCCGTCTGAACGATTAGACATTAACCAGCTAACAACAGCCCCATGCTAGCTCATCACAGTTATTCTTCCTCACTTATCTGTTTGTCTACTCACCAGAGATTTACAGGACTATTCCCCCTGCCTTCATTAGCCCCTAATTACACCAGTCCAACAACAAACCTCCGTCCCCTCGGCTTCTTCATTAGCTCTCCAGGCCTCTGCGGCGTCCCGTGTGTGTGTCAGTCCCATTGTGAAACCATTACAGTGATGCTAAATTAGTACGTATTATCATTACTCGCATGTTTGTCAGGCCTTTTCCGAAAGGGGAGGAGAGGAAGCGCGCCTGCTTGGAGGCCATGTCGCAGATCAAAGTGCAGCCTGGGTGTTATCTGCCCAGTAACCCCGAGGCCATTGTTCTGGACATAGACTACAAGTCGGGGACACCAATGCAAAGGTTGGCCCATCATTTCTCTGTGCAACTGCAAGAGACTGTAGAAAGGAGTGGACATAGTGTGTGTGTGTGTGTGTGTGTGTGTGTGTGTTGTAGAAGGAGTGGACATAGTGTGTGTGTGTGTGTGTGTGTGTACTGTAGAAGGAGTGGACATAAGGTGTGGTGTGTGTGTGTCGTCAGCCGTTGAGTTTGTTGGCCCTCAGATGAAGCCTGGGTTAGCTAGGGGGGCTACTCTGCTAATATTCAAGATTCAAGATTTAATTTGCCATTTGCAGTAAAACCACATTGGAAAAACTGTGCAAGACTATGCCGGTGTGCATCAACAGCACACACCAGAGCACTTGCCACGGCGCCATGCTAATTCTATGTGCTCCATGTGCTCCTCACTCCTACTGTTCTGTAATCTTTTCCTCTTAATCTAATGTTGCAACCAGACCAAGTCGATGTCCCTGTGCTCATTCATTGATTCATGGGTCATTTATGAGCTTATTTCAAGCGTACAAGCTACAACAACAACAATTGGCACAGTCTTGAAGTTTGGCCACCCACAGACATGCCCAAAACTAGCATTTTTGGCTAGCTCCTGTCCTCTCCCTATATACTGTAGGCGCAGTAGAGCAGCAGAAATAGAGCGACCAGTTTGTTGCTCAAAAGTGTGGATTCATAGAAAAAAAAAAAATCAAAAAGAGAATCAGGTTTATGATCCCACAGGGGACAAGACTCTCCACTAAATTACTATACCAAGGATTATATTGACTTTGAGGTCTATGGGAAAATGTCTAGTGTAGCCCATGAGAATTTAGGCTGCAGTACAGAGGGTGCCCTTTAAGTATGTACCGGAGAGCGGCTTAAGCTAGCAAAACCCTATCCAGTTATTATAATCGATATTGTTTGTCACATAGTCAAATAGGGGCGACAGTAGCTCAGTTGGTAGAGCATTGGCCTTTGGGCCTGGAGGTCGTGAGTTCGATTCCCACCATGGGACTTACTCCAACTGCTTCCACTGATGACTGCTGTCGTTGTGTCCTTGGGCAAGACACTTAACCCCACGTTGCCTGAAGCCCCCCGCTGAAAGATCAAGGCGGTTTCTCAACTGATGGAGCAGCCATCTTCCTGTGGACTCACCCCCTGCAGAAGATCAGTGAGGGACTGGTGCTATGAGCATTGGGTGGCAGCTCTCATTGCCACCCCCCCGACCCAGAAGTGGACTAATAAAGGGGTTGAAAATGAAATGAAAAATGAAACATAGTCAAATAATCATCCGATAGTTAATAGCTTTCTATGTCCACTGCTTTATACGGTCTATGGCAGAAGCAGAATCTGGAAAGATCTTTGCCGCACTAAAAAAAAAACTGTTGTGTTTTCAGTGCTGCCAAAGCTCCGTATTTGGCCAAATTCAAAGTCAGGAGATGCGGCGTGAGCGAGCTGGAGAAAGGAGGTGAGCTGAGCATGGATAACTATGAAAGTGCTGGTCCTTCAGTGAGATTGAGCCGATGATGTGTGACCTCTCCTCAGGCTTGTCGTGCCGATCCGACTCCATGGACGAGAGTAAAAGTGACGACGCCAAACAAACCTGTTGGCAGGCGGCCATCTTTAAAGTGGGAGACGACTGCAGACAGGTCCTAAATCTTTGATATACAACGGCTCGCAAAAAAGAACTATACTTTCTGGACTATTAGGCGCACTTGTGTATAAGCCGCACCTGCAATATTTTAAAAGAATGTACATTGTGCCCACCTATAGGCCACGCTGGAATATAAGCCGCAGGTTTTCTGACTCATTCACAAATTTGAGTCAAAATTATAAGTCTGCTCTGACAACAGCTCAACTATACACAATAAAAATACACATATTAGCCGCATTGCTATATAAGCCGCATGGTTAAAGAACTCGAAACAAGTAACGGAATTTTAGCCTTTGTAATTGAATTTAAAATGTATTCTATTCTGTGTTTTTAATATTGTGTGGGATGTTTTTACTCTAGTGTACGGCGTCCTTGGGTGTCTTGAAAGGCGCCATGGAATTATTATTATTATTATTATTAGTAGTAGTTGTAGTAGTGGCACCACTTCAAACCTACCAAAACACCAACAATGTTCATGTTTGTGGTCGTAAACATGACAAACTGTGCACGAGTTAAAGTCGTGTTCGTACTTTTGCGAGTCACTGCGTTCACGTCATTTCCTGATAGACTTTGTTGTGAAGAGAATAACCCGTGTGTGCAGGACATGCTGGCTCTGCAGATCATCAGTCTGTTCAAGAACATATTTGAGCTCGTGGGACTCGACCTCTATGTGTTTCCGTACAGAGTCGTGGCCACTGCTCCAGGAGTAAGGAACATACTTTCACCTTTTTATCGCAGTATGTTTTCAATACGAGCGGTGGGGGGGAAATGTATTCACTTCAGTATTGCTATATTGAGCACACACATTAAATACAAACAAAAGACTTTCGATAAATATAAAGAGGGTCACTAGGGGGCGCAATTGGGCTAAAATAAATTGGTGTTTGGTTTTGTTTTGTTTTGTTTTGTTTTTTTATTTCTATTTTATCAACTTCGTTTAGTTGCTTATTATAGTCATTATGATCTTTATTGACCTTGAAGAGTGATGTTGCTTTAAACAGTTGCCATTATTTGTCGTTAATATTGCTGTTATCGTCTGTTCTTTCTTGTTTATTTTTTTACATTTGCATAGTTGCTGTTCTATGTAAAGTGTGTATATTTTCATGTAGTGTTTTGGGGGTGGGCACCGATAAGCTTTTGCTTCGGCCCACTCCTTTTGAGCAGTACTTGTCTGCTCAAATAAACAAATAAATAAATAAAAATACATAAATTGATACGGAAGTGCTTTAATTTAATAATCATCTTTGTCTCGGGTGTTTACTTGGGTAATATACTCAAAGTGGCGCTGTTGTAGCCTGGTCGTACCACACCACAGTACAAATTACATTTCGTACTAAGGTCTGGAGGTGCTCCGTTGAGCTCCGTTTACAGGTGGGAGGGGTTAACTCCTTTTGCAGATTGAAACGATTGGATCTGAGTTTACCGTGACGTATGTAATGTGCTCGAGTGAGTTAGCATTTAGCCTTTGCCGCTAACGGAGCCGTCGGGGAGTAGTGCCTCAATTTTTGCCAGCAATGACTTTTGCTAAACATTCCTCTTGCTACGGCTTCAATTTCTTGATCAAACCAGACCTTAATACTTTACTATCGCATTCTTCGCCATTACCAAACTACAACCTGCCCGTTCTGTGCAAACTGTTGACGTCACCCACAACTAACTACAACACCCGTTTTCGTACATTCATCCAACAGCAAGTTCAAATGGCTTCATCACAACCGGTGCAGACTATAATACATTTTATCAAAGCAGTCTTATTCTCCTCCAATGTTTGTAATGCCTTTGAACAATATGAGGGACATGAATCACAATATATCGCAGAATCAAATTTCAATACTTGCTGTGTCACAATACGTTAAGAATCGCAATAATATTGAATTGTGGCCCAAATACTTAGACTTAGACAGACTTTATTGATCCACAAGGGAAATAGTGTTGTCACAGTAGCTTGCAAAGTATTCCCCAAAAAATAACAATGTAAATAACATCAGTAACAACCTGAAAATAAGAAAAACAATATTGTAAAACCAATTCCCGTCCCCATTCAACACAACACAAAACCACTGGATCCTGGTTTGAATAATAATAATTGTGTGTTTGCGCACAGTGCGGAGTGATCGAGTGCATTCCCGACTGTAAGTCACGTGACCAACTGGGCCGACAGACGGACTGCGGGATGTACGACTATTTCAGGAACCAATACGGAGACGAATCGACGCTTGCATTTCAGAAGGCAAACAACCCGACGATTTAAACATGTAGTGAAGATAAAACCCAGTGATTATTTATGACGTTAGTAAATCCTCTTTTTGTTTTTTCAGGCGCGGTACAACTTCATTCGCAGCATGGCGGCCTACAGCTTGCTGCTCTTCCTGCTGCAGATAAAAGACCGGCACAATGGGAACATAATGCTGGACAGTCAGGGCCACATCATCCACATCGGTCGGTTCATATGCATTTGTTCATTCATAAACTAAAGCTGGGGTACTTCACTTTCAGATCACAAATACCTGCCTGGATTTATGGCCTCTTTGTCACGTTTTAGATCAGCCCGAGGAGACAAATAGTGACTCACAGGGCTGAATATACTGGTTATAGTGCACAGTTCCCATGTTTCATACAATGGTTGTAACTTAATTGTAGTTGTAGTAGTAGCTTATTTATTGTCGGCCATTTTAACCATTAGATCTTAGGTCACATGATCCAACAACTGTTATACATTTTTAAATAAGAGCACTCCAATGTTAAGAATTTTCGCGGTAAATAAAACGGTTTCTTACTTTCCTTAGAAGTTTATTATTTTAAATTCTCAAGGGATGGAAAAACACATTAGGACCTTTTTGTCTTTGAAGATTCTGAATAACAGCCTTTTTTCATATATATCTGACTGGTACCAATCTGTTACATTACCGCAAACATTGGCCAATATCAATACTGATAGACACACTACAAAAAATTATAAATTATGAGGTAATAATTTCTTCAATGTTTTTTTCTTAATTTGCTTTATTTTCTCATTCCAAGGGAGACATTTATTGTATATTTTTAAAACAAGATCATTTTGCTTCGTCCCATTGGCAAATCTTGTTTAAAGGCAGTTAGAAGGTGCTCATATTACGATAAATTTTGCCAAATTTGAGGAATTTTTGACATATTTATCATCACTTCTTGCAGTGCAGGCCGTCCAAACAAATGTCCCACCACCAAATTGGAGAAAAACATTTCAAACTTTCCATGTTTGACCTCGACATCGTCATAACTCTTCTTTTTGCTTTTGTGCCTAGACTTCGGCTTCATGTTTGAGAGTTCTCCGGGTGGAAACCTGGGCTGGGAGCCGGACATCAAACTGACCGACGAGATGGTGATGATCATGGGAGGGAAGATGGAGGCCACGCCCTTCAAGTGGTTCATGGAGATGTGTGTGAGGGGCTACCTGGCCGTCCGGTCCGTTTGACGCAGCATCACCAACCGAGTGTCAAAACTGCTCTTTTTTTATACTCTACTTGTGTTGTGCTTTTAGGCCGTACATGGACGGAGTGGTGTCCTTGGTAACGCTGATGCTGGACACGGGTCTTCCATGTTTCAGAGGACAGACAATCAAACTACTCAAGTGAGAAACCCCATTCTCTTTCTTAATCTTTTTATAGACTTTTTATCTACCGTCATTTCCGGACTATATGTGTTTTCAACCTTGCAGCTTATATACCGACGCGGCTAATATGTGTATTTGTATTGTATAGTTTTAGCAGCTTTAGGACACTTGTTTATTGTCAAAATATATGAAGGTGAATGAGTGATGGAAGCTAACGGTTAAGCTAACACCTCGTTTTTAGATAATGTCGTCTCTCTACTACATTACAACATGAAAACCTACGGCTTATATTCAAGTGCGGCCTATATGTGGACAAAATTGTGTTTCTTTTAAAATGTAGGTGGTGCGGCTTATACACAGGTGCGCCTTATAGTCCAGAAAGTATGGCACTTCCTGTTTTCTTATAGGACGACAAACACATACAAAGGGGCACTGTCAAAAAAAACACTTGAAAAGATTTTTAAAAGTCCAGTTTTATGTGAAAAATATAGCTGTAAATAATTTTTTTTTAGTGGAATAACTTATGTCATTTACTGTACTATGTTTCCCATATTTTGATAAATTACATTATAGGTTTATGCATGTATGTTGATTTACACTTTATATATTTTGTGAGATTTACACACGAGACATTTTATCCTATTTTGTCTTCACATCCACGACCGGAGGGTAAGTTTTGAGCCAGTTCCTTGTCATTCCTTTCCTTGTTGCAATTCTAAAAAAAACATTCTCAAAATCTAGTTGTCTTGGTTTGCTCATTGAAATAACTGCAACGTAAAAACAAACAAGATCATTCCTAACTAAGAGACTTAGACTAAGAGATTTTTTTATTCTGTTCTCAGGCAGAGGTTCAACCCGGGTTTGAGTGAGAAAGAGGCGGCGTCCTACATGATCAAAGTCATACAAAACTGTTTCCTCAGCAGCAGGTGACTTTGGGAACTTCTGAAAACACCTTAATGTCTGTTTTTGTTACGGTCGCACACAGCTCTAATGTTGTTCTCCTGTGTTTTTAGGAGTAAAACTTACGACATGCTGCAGTACTACCACAACCAGATCCCATACTGAGCCGAGGTGCCTCTGCCCTGGGTGCTCCTGCCCTGGGTGATTCTACCCAGGGTGCTCCTGCCCTAGGTGCTCCTGCCCTGGGTGATTCTACCCTGGGTGCTCCTGCCCTGGGGGCCCCTACCCTGGGTGCTCCTGCCCTGGGTGCTCCTGCCCTGGGTGCCCCTACCCTGGGTGCTCCTGCCCTGGGGGCCCCTACCCTGGGTGCTCCTGCCCTGGGTGCTCCTGCCCTGGGTGCCCCTACCCTGGGTGCTTCTACCCTGGGTGTTTCTACCCTGGGTGTTTCTACCCTGGGTGCTCCTGCCCTGGGTGCTTCTACCCTGGGTGCTTCTACCCTGGGTGCTTCTACCCTGGGTGCTTCTACCCTGGGTGCTTCTACCCTGGGTGCTTCTACCCTGGGTGCTTCTACCCTGGGTGCTTCTACCCTGGGTGCTTCTACCCTGGGTGTTTGCTGTACTCTACTTCAAATGTGGAAAAGTGATATTGTTCAACATTGTTTGCTTTTTTTTTTCATCCAAATAATATTTTTGGAAATTGTGATATTTATGAAAAAATAATATATTTATGAGAAACTAATATATTTCTGAGGTGTTGTGGACGTGGTCCTGACGCAGACTGTGGTCTTCATGTGTTGCACTGTGACTATATTTATGCTCAGACATGAAGCCAAAATTGCCTGTTTAAAATGTATTTGTTTAATCTATGACATGTACAACACTAGGACTCCCAGAGCAGTCATTTTAACTGCTTCCATCCAAACCAATGGAATACTGAGAAATTCACAACAAAAAGTTTTAGTTTCTCTCTAGTTTTATTCAAATGAAGGTGTAAGGGGTTTACCTTTGATAAGTGCTAAAACTGAATCTGAAATAACTACAGTAAATAGTTTGTTGTCAAGTAAACGGTGTGTTGCTATAGTAACTCGCACTCTCTCTCTCGAGCAGACTCTGCTCAGAACCAGACCCAGTCCAGGACCAGCACCAGGGGCTTTACCTGCCAAAGAATGTTTGTTGCCAAATGACCAAAAATTGCCACATTTGAATTTAACATTGAGTCAAAATAACTGCTCTAAGAGTTAGATATAGAACTCCTCACATTTCAATAATAAATATATAATATAAATAATTTCATGAAAATAATGACACACAAAAAAACGACATATAGAAACAGAAAAAGTTTAAAGGTTCACGAGCTGAGTAATTACACTTCCAAAACTACAACTGTCAAATTGACTGCTCTGGGAGTTGCAGCGTTAAGTAGCTCATAAATCTTTGTTAATAGAACTTTATTTTGAATGTCTCAATGAAGCGACCGTGACGTGGTTCTGCCTGTGGTGTGTGCCTGAAGCAGCCTCTGAGGAACCTCTATTTTTATGACTCTACATTTGCACTAACGTTCACACAGACGTAAACGCATGGGTCTGCGGCGGTTTGGAAAGACGACGTAACATGTGACATCCACTTTGTACCTAGTTATTTACCTTAAAGCTGAGGTACCTGACTTTCAAACCACAAAAAATGGGTTAGTTTCACATACATGTATTTTTTGGTCTCTATCACATCTCTTGCTTTTTCTTTAGTGAGAAAAACTGCTGATTGCTGACTTGATCTACAGCCTGTCATTGGACAGGGTTTCTGCTGGCGTAGCATAAACTGGCAGAGTTCAGAGCAGCTCGGCAGGACTAAATACTGAACTATAGCTCAAATATTGCATTAAATATATACTGTGCTTTCTAGACTACAATGCACTACGCTTTAAAAGAAAATCAGATTTGTCCACATATAGGCCGCACTTGAATATAAGCCGCAGCTTTTCATGTTGTAATGTAGCAGAGAGACGACTGTTTAAACTGGACACAGCAAGAGTTAATGACGATGTTAGCTTAACCGTTAGCTTCCATGACTCATTCACCTTCATCTGGTTTGACAATAAACAAGTGTCCTCGTGCTACTAAAACTAAAACTCTATCACAATAAAAATACATGTATTAGCCGCATCGCTATATAAGCCTCGGGGCTCAAATAACTAGAAAAAAGTAGCGGCTTATCGTCTGGAAAATGCGGTAAAAGGATGGCCCTCAGCTGTTATGGATTCTCACGGATAGAAACATGTTACGTCTTCTTTAAGCTTATTTTTGCATCGCCAAAGGAAAAGCCTGGCATGTTGTCGTTTACCATTTGTGAATGAGGTGACGCTGTTGTACCATGTGGCCTGTTTGCATCGTGGCTTCTGGTTGAACCTCAATGTTTTGCCTTCATGAAATGTAATGTTACTGATTGTTCCCTCTTTACAAGCCCGTGTTTTGTATCTTGAATGCTCTAAATCTTATGGAATAAATATAAACGGACTAAAAGTGTGGATTGATTCTTGTTTTTGTAATTCTGGGTCTATAAATGCACATGCTCCAACAGCCCTCAGGTACGTTACCGTGGAGATGGACGCGGTTATGATGATTGTGATTTTTAAATTAAAATAAAAAACATGTTGGTTCATAAGTAATGGATGAATGGAGTTGTAGAATGCCACTTCGGAACAGTCTTCTGTGATTAAGAACGAATACAGTGGAAAAAAAAATATGCTTATTTTTTATTTTTTTGAGTTTGAACTGTTGACTGATCAGTTTTTGGCTAATCGACAATATTGTACATTCCTCTGAGATAACCACTGTTGTGATTTAGGGCTATACGAAAATGAAGTAAGTTGAATCAACAAGAAAATTGAGACCTCTGAGCTTAAGCAGGGCAGGGGCTGGTTAGTACTGTGATGGGAGACCTCTGGGAAACACCAGGTGCCACACTGGGGCAGCTGTAAAGTGCCAAACTGTTGCTGTGTCCATAAACAAAACATTTTACCCACATTGTCCAGAATGAGTCTAATGTGTGTGTGTGAATGGTTGGTGGTGGCCGGAGGGGCTGATGGCACATACTAGTTGCCTCAGCTCAGTCAGTGTGCCCCAGGGCAGTCGTAGCTTCTTTGAGTGTCCAAAAAACAATGTATAAAACAGAGGAATTATTATTTTAGTACGACATGTTAACGATGTGTTGGACAAATTAACTGAAGAAAAATAGAGTACAGTCATTATAACCAGATCAAAATGCTTTGATGATAGGCCAATGCAATTCAAATATATAACTTATTTTTTTCCAACTATTCTAATATTAATGTTAATTCTTCTATTTGACTTCATTTATTAATTTATGTTGTAGTTTCACCTCATCACAGATCTCTACAAACCGCTTTGCAGAACCAACCACAAGGGGGCAGCAGGGAGTTATTCGCACGAGGCAAACCAGGAATAACATAACACCGACACATTAAAACTGGCACTTATGGGTATTTGAAATCCCAGGCTCAACTACTTATTCCACAAAAACATAGTTAACACGTATATATGAAAGATTTGACTGAAAATATTGCATCATTATCCCAAATTTCTACATTTCTGTAAAGTCGTCAATGTTACTTCCTGGTTCCACGCGCGCTGCGGATGTGAGTGGTTGTTACCATAGCAACCACAGCAACCAAAGTAAACACTGGACAAAAAGCTTTGTAAAAATAGGAAAGGCACGGCAAGTTTATTTAAATAGCACAGTTTATACACGTACATTTTACATACATGCAAAAAGCGCTTAACAAAACAAAATAGAAAAAATAAAATCCCAGTACATAGTTCATATAGTGTTGAATCCTTGTAGCACAGATAATGTTTAGTCTTGACTTGACTTACTTTTCTTTCCAAACAAGAAAAGTATTAATGTGGCTGCGGTACAACGTATATGACACAAAACACACACAAAACTACAGAACTTTGCCTTATTTGGCCCTACTCTACTTTACTCTACTCTACTCAGTGTTACTGTCAGTTTAATTGCAGCTCAGCCTGGATAGAACCAGGACCATGCAGGTAGTGAAAAAGTACCGGACAGGGCTCTTTACATTTGGTCTGCTGTGGTCTGCTTTGTTTCAGCATTTTGCTTTCACAAGACTATTCCTGTTGGGGCAAACAACATGTATTATTTATGAAAAAAAGGTAGGTACCCCAGCTTTAAAGTAACTTCTAAACCTCTAAAATGTATTCGGACTTTCATGAGCTTTTAACCCTCCATTTTAAAGTTACAATCATTGACTGCCATTGACGTATTTGTCTGAGACTGGTGATATTTGTCAAACTTCCCTCTATTCAACTGGGGATTACAGAAGAACAAAAATAACTTATTTTTAAGTAGCCAGTCCAGTCTTTCAGAATCTGGTTTCATATTTTACATAGTCATTGCACACAATATTCTGTGGGTCTTGAAAATCAGTGAAATCCTCAAAAATGTATTTTAAAGTGTTATTATTCATTTGTATTTTTTTATAATTGAATTTTAATCTGTAGCACTTTGAGGTTTAGCGGAAATAAAGCAAATATAAATAAAATGTATTATTATTATTATTGTTATGGGGCGTTCACACCGGACTTAACTTCGGCGTCAAAAGCGTCAGGTTTCCATTGAAAGTGAATGGTGAAGCGCGTCAGGTGAAGCCGAGAGCCCCGGCGTCACTTGACGCGCGTCAAAAGCTTTTTGAAGCTTTTGGTCTGAACGCGCCTTTAAAGGCACTGGTTGGAGTTGAGCTCAAGGACCGCGAGGAGCCCATTACCCCACGCTACATATTTAACAGGAGCCGGTGCTGATGGCTGTTTATGCCCGGTGCAGCAGTACTTTTGGTTAATATTTTATTGCATACAAATGTCCACAGGGGCCTTGATGTATTTTTGATGAGGTCAGAAGTGTCATGGCCGCTCCCTGTGGTCCCAGCTCCAGCAGCACCCTGATCTCATTCAACACATGTAAGTTCTGCTGCGTGTCAGAAAGCAACACAACACACACACTCTGCACACATCTCTGCATTCGTAGAACAGGCCATGAGTATTTTGTGTGTATAGATGTTTGAGCAGGTAATGCATGGGGAAAGTATTCCTCCTGAAGCCACATCGGAATTTCAGCTTCATGTCGGACCTC